TGGTTTCGTGGTTTCGTGGTTTCGTGGTTTCGTGGTTTCGTGGTTTCATGGTTTCATGGTTTCATGGTTTCGTGGTTTCGTGGTTTCATGGTTTCGGGGTTTCGGGGTTTCGGGGTTTCCTGGGTTCATGGGTTCACGGGTTTGGGGTTTGTTTGTTTTTGTGTCGGAGGTTTTGGGTTTGTTTGTTTTTGTGTCGGAGGTTTTGGGTTCGGGTGTTGGAGGTTTTGGGTTTGGGTGTTGGAGGTTGAGGCTTCCGAAGGGATGCGTTTGCAAAGTTTTATTGCTCTTAATATTCTAGGAAGATGAAGTACTAGTAAATACTACTTAGTTGTGAGTTGCAGTTGGACATTTCAGATAACATCGTATGATCACTACTTCATTTTTGAACCAATGGTACGCTAAACTTTGACGTCCTCCTCGTTCTCGTGGAATTTCTTTTCATAAGTAGGACTTTTGTACGGCTTGCGGCGTTCTCTTTGTGCACGATCTTCACGCCCGTAGGTCTCGAGGTCGTAGTCATCCAGCTGCCGTTCCAGTGCGAAATATTGGTAGAATGCCTCTACAGTTTCGTGAGAGTGAAAAAACTCTCCTCTTCCTGCGCCGCCGTTCCATGGGATCACGTAATGCCAAAGAAAGAAGAATACGACCCAACAACATGAAGCAGAAGGAACTTCAGAAAGTTTGGAATACATAGCTGTATCCGCATGTGCATCATGGACACTGCGTCAGATGCGACTTCTACGTAAGAAACAAAGGATGAAGGGACAAGGAGCTTATGAAGTTCTACGTCATTAATAAGAAAACGATCTTGTTCATCATCATCGTACCATAATTCCAGGAGAGCCCTCACGAGAACACAAACAAGGCGGCAGTAACATAACAAAGATAATCGGTAATCCACGAGTAGTTCAGCATCATCTAGATCTAGGTATAGTTAGGTCATCTAGTCACCACTTAACCATACAAGAAGTAAAAATATGGAAGTAATTAGATATTTGAGTATTTGTAATGCATAAAGCGAGGAGAAAGATGACGTGTTCTTCTGCTTCGGTGGTTGGCATGTACTTGTCACGCAACCAGTTTGGCCAGCGTTTCCAACTACCGCGTGGCGGAAGCTTGTTGGGGTCTTGGATCACCACGGCTCTTGGGGAATTCTCTTCCGCAAGAAACATGTTGGTTGCAAAGGTAGCGCAGTCGGTGAGAAAAATCGCAGGCTCCAGGAGAAAATTCGCGACAATGCGCGCCCCTTGTAGCAGCACGGCCCGCCCGATATCCAGCGCAGTGCCACCAAGGATTGAATGAAGGACTTGGTTTCGCACAGTGCTCCAGTTATTCAGAAAGGAGGTGTGGCCTAGGCACAGAAACCACGCGAAGCCACCTTTTGCACGCCGCGCCCACAGACCCGCAAACAAAGCAGAAAGAGCGGAGAAAAGCACTCCCCATGGTTGTTAGACGATAAAGAGGTACTAGATGTCTTCTAAGAAGAGAGCACTCGTTGTGATTTTTTTTTCGAATTGTCCCAGCAACTGATGTTGAACTCCGAAAACAACACATACTGTGCCTCGCAACAAAAATGTCTTCTATGCATAAAAATGCAGAGAACAAAAAACGAATGTGTACTTATCCTCTAAGGGGTTCTCTGTTCCTGAACAAGAAACTTCTAGATAGTGACCACAGGATAAAATATGTTCAAGAAAATAGATTCACCTTCACGCACAACATGAACATCCGTAAGTATCAAGCCAATCGTCGGGAAGAGGAACTCCAGAGTCAGAGTTTCTCCATTTACTATGAATCGCAGGGATGCGCCACTGCTGCTTCAAATGTTCGGCTGGGCCTGTGTAGCCTACACAACTTCCAGAAGATGAGGAGATGCTCGCGTCCTTTCCGGAAGACGGGAAGGTCGCCGAAGTCGTTTTTGAGGACGGCGTTTTCTTGATTCTTAGAGCCACGAGGACACCGACACTAAAAGTAGGTAAGTGCAGACGAAGCACAGATCCAGATGACGTAGTTGATCAAGATCCTATTTTGACGTGAGACCAAAGTAACAGGTTCCTCATTCACTGAAGAAAGTCCACCTAGGCGCGAGAGCTTATGGTAATACGACTGCGTTTACTGAAGACCAGCCTTAATTTTTTTGATGTCGTACTAGACGACGCCGACGGACTTTTTGCTTTTTTCTTTGTGGAAGACTTGCTGGATGTTCGGTAAGCGGTAGAGGTACTTTTTGGACGAGAAGGAGCGTCCTTAGGACTGTTGAGTGGAGCACTTCCGCTGACGTGAAGCACGAAAGTGAGAACTCTGCTACAAAAATCAGGTAGCGCATCAAAGGGGCAGAGCGCGCTCACAAGTGTGGTCCACGCTTTCACTGCCTCACGCGCACCCTTGCTATCCGCTGTAATTAACTCATCTTGCTCTTGGTCCACATCATTGGAAGACGAGGATGCAAGCTCTAGTTCTCGCTCTTCTGGGTTTTCCTCTACCTCAGCACCCGAGTCCATTTCATCATCTCCAGTATCTACTGAGGCTCCGTCTTTTCTGCCAACATCATGTACTTCATCGGTACTCGTGGACGTCTTAGAAGCGAGTCTAATAACTGACGTGGTAAGCGTGAGAAAAGTGCCGACAACAAGTTACGAGCATGAAGCCCTGAGGACCACCCGCACCCTGTACCTTTCCTATAAACATCATCAATAACCCATTATCATGATCCTCAATGAAGGCATAATCTGCTTTGGAACATCAATCCGTTCCACTTGTTCCTTCATAGAAAATCTTAATCTTTTTCTTTAAATGGAAATTTACTCAAAGTGCATAGTATCTATTTTCAAACTCAAGGTGCATTATGTTTTATCATGTTGACTCACTGGAGTTCAAGTTCTGCTTATTCATAATATTCATCTTGCCAGTCGCAGCAGTTTCAGTTTCGCCATCGAGTACACCTACTCGGGCAAGCCATGCGCCTCCATCGCGCATGACGGCGTGGCCCACACGGGCAGTGGCATCTTGCAGTTCCCAAGCCAAGTCCAGCTTCGATGTATCTTCCGACGTGTGCTTCTTCCAAGCTCTCCGATACAAGCGGCGCATTCGATCCGGATAGAACAATAGGCTTAGAGGGACGAGAAAAGATTTTTGGTCCCTTGGAGGATTCTACAACTTGTTCTTTTTGTTCTCATTTCATTTGGTTGTACCGATTATGGGAGTCTTGTAAAATTCCAAAAACTTTTTAGATACAAGAGGTAGAGGACTTACGTCATATTCATAATCATTATATTACGAATAAGTATATTAGTCGTGTTCTTTGCCACTATGTTAATGCTGGCACAAAGAAGATCTTCGCTTGATCTCGACTTCTTTTTGTAGAGGATAAAGTCTTAGGGGTCTACTTACTTCCTTCTAGATCTCGAATGATCTTATTCTTAATGATCCTTCTGCTTACTATTGGCATATAATCGGATGAAACCATTATATTCATGATTTTGACATTCCAAACGACGCGCCATAAAAGAGGGTCTATCCTGCACGCTGAGTGTCGCCAAACATGATGGGTCCCTGCACGCATGCCATTTCGGGTCAAGGGACTACGAAAAAGCCAAATGCAACAAGGATAAGCAATCATTGCGGCACACACACCATAAAGAGCTCGCTGTAGATGCCATTGCCAATATCTGCTCTTGCTGAACCAGGTCGCCAGCATCAATACCATCGAAATCTTATGACAAAGTCCTATCGCCTGCTCCTCCATATCGACGTCGTCTCTGATTCTATCTGTGTGCTTGCCATCAGTGGCAAGCAGCTTACGCATAAGAGTATTCCACATTTTTTGTTGTAGTTCTTGTCTAATTTATTGTGTCACAGGTAAAGGTAGAATAAACGAAAAGGAACGATGTAGAAAGAATAAGAGAATTCTAGTACTACAAGAAGACTCGTTTCTGTTATGAGTTGTACCAGAGTTCGATGAATTCGATCTACTTGCCGTGATGATCATCTACTAAATACCACTAAGCAAACCACGACGACACATTATAGGATGGTTATGGAAAAGATAACTTTCTCTCCCTCGCTCTCTCTCTCTCCCTGTCACTGTCTGCCTGACGAGGAAACGGAAATCATCTACGGTATGAGGGAACGAAAATTTTGTAACGACAGACTGAAAGAGCAAATGTAATAAAACAAATCTACTCGTCGTGTTGGTTCACCGCCTGAGCTTCTCCGGCGGCGACAGCGACTTGTTTCTTACGCTTGACACTACTACCTAGTCTACTAATAATGCACTGCTCAAGCTAATTTCATCCATTTCCATCTCATCCTCAATCGCTCCTAGGGCTCTTCGATTTGACAACGCGCTGCGAAACAAATAACATTGTCATAGCGCGCGAGAGCCTCAGCGAATGTGATTGTGACGAACGAGTGTGATTGTCAACACAGCGAGTGTTCTTGTTGCGGCTCAATCAAGGGCGACCTATCATATGAAAAACGATTCAACACAAGGGCCAGAACCCACTAAGAATACGAGATATCACGTATGAATTCAACGACCCATGTTCTTGAGTCCCATTCCGACTTGTTCCGTTTTTTTATAGTCGAAGAAGTTCACACTCACATACGAATTTTTCTTTTCTTCGTTTTCTTGCCTGACTGACTATCGCACGACCCCTAAGCAGCAGATGAAGCACGTGCTGGCAGACTACAAGCTCGTGAGGATCTGTCTCAAAATATTCACATCCTTTCAGAACCCGAATCACGCGGGGATTGCAATGATACTAATTGACTTGAACAATACCAACAACGACCAATGAATACTAGAAGCAAACATAAAACAAAAATGAGAGGACGACACGTCGCGCATAATGATCATCACGATTCAAGCTTCTTAAGCTTAGTGTAGGACTTCAGATAAGGCTTCTGTCAAAAATGCGTATTTTGACGGAACTGAGGATAGGGATATAATATCTGCAGAACAACGGACGTTTTCACTGGTCTCCCGCTTTGCATCTACCCGTGGACAACATAACCATTCCGCAGAACTACTCACAAGAAGTGCCGGTCTTGTGTTCAATGTCCTTGTCGTGATCGTCATCTTGTGGCGCAAAATTTAGAGCTATGATCATGATGATCATCTGTGACCTTCTCATAGAGATGGAAAAGTAAGAATGTAGTACAAACATACTAGGCAACAAAAAAATTGGAAATAATGCCAATGATTGTGATTCGTGTCGTCTATTACGTTTCCGACTCCGAAAAATCAAAGAGCTAAATTAAAAAACAACAACGACCCCGCCAAACTCTCACGCTTCCACTTCCGAGCCCCAAACTCTCACGCTTCCACTTCTGACTCATGAACGCATGAACTCTTATGAACTCCCATGGACTCCTGTGAAGTGAACTCTTGTGCACTCTTCTGAACTCTTACGAATTCTTCTGGTTCTGAATTCTTATGAATTCTTATGAACTTAGGAACATAAGAACTGCGGAACTTAAGAACTTCAGAACTTATGAACTTGCGAGGCCTGGGAATTGGTTAGACTTAGATCTGACGTCACGCAGTTGGACCCTAAATTTAAAATTTACGCGATAAAGTCAAAACGTTTACAACTTGACCTCAAAAAGTTATAATTTTTCAAAAATTCACGGCGATACCGATACCCGGAAGTTTATAAATCTGATTACATTCCAGCAGGCGTCATAAGATAGATAATATGACAGAGATAGATGAAAAAAATCAACGACGACCCCTCCAGCATCCCATCCGAACCCGACACACCGAACCAAAAACACATGAGCCGGAAGCACTTTAGCCAAAAACATGCGACCCCCATCGCAAACTTTTCCGCGCCTACTCTATCTAATCAACCAACAAACACAACACACGAACACACGAACCCCCGGCACGACGTCGAGCACTTATCAAAATAAAGCACGCCGCGATATAATCTTTAATTCGTAGGCGTTGAAATCAAAAACTTTGCCCAAAAAGCCCAAACTTTTGACGTTATCAGCTCAAGGCCTATCCTCGACCTCAAGCCCGAAGGCGTAAGCTTAAGAATTAAACTGCTAGGCTGAAAGCTCCAGTCTGAAAGCTCAAAGTTGAAGACTCAAAGCCGAAGGCTCAAAGCTGAAAAGTCAAAACTGAAAACTCAAAACTGAAAGCCCAAAGTTGAAAGCTCAAAGCTGAAAGCTCAAAGTTGAAAGATCCTCCAAGCCGAAAGCTCAAAATTGAAAATTCCAAGCTGAAAGCTCCAAGTTGAAAGTTCAAAAATTAACTGACTCAAAGTTGAAAATTCAAAATTAAACGCTCAAAGCCGAAGACTCACAGTTGAAAGCTCCAGGCTAAGAGTAAAAGCCCAAAGCTGAACGCCTAACTTAAGATCAAAGGCGGCGCCTCAATGTCTCAAAGTTGCAAGCTTGAGACTGGAAATCCAAAGTTTTTGACTATATCCAGTAGAAACGAAACTGAAAAAGTTACCATCCAAATTTTTTGATTGTATCACAAGCGGAGGAATTTCGACAAGTTGCAAACTCGAGCGCTGCAACTTGCACGCAAAGAAGGCCAAACCTGCCAAAAGATGAGCGCACCGAGATGCCAACGGCTTCGATCCGTGCCGTTTTAATCAATGGCCGCACGCCGTCCCCCGCCCAACTCTTGCCCCAACGATCAACGCCGCCCGACGGTTGTCGGGCGGGGGAGGAACCGGGGAAGCGGAACCGCGCTGGGGTTAAGGAAGTGCGTGCCGGGGGTGGATGATCCTAGTGGGAGGAGTGCTGCCGGGCGCTCAAGTCTGGTAGAAAAGTCAAAATGATAAATGTAGCAATTGCCGTTACCGTAATGGGAATTATCGTGACCACCACCCTTGTTTGTCGTCGCTTTTTGACCACGATGCTTTCTCGGCCTACGCTTTCTAGTAGTTGTAGGACTGTCTGCTCGTCTCGTGCTGTCGTTGTCTTCACTCTTCGCTGCCTGCTCCATGTTTTCGCGCGATTGCACCCCTTCATATTGCCTCGTCTGTTCCACACGTTTTTGAGTATCTGCGCTGTCTCCAAAGACATTTGGAGACTCAGAGAACGAGAAAAAAAGAAAGCGAGCTCTCTCCTGAGCCGATGTAACAGTGTCCTTTGGCAGCTTCCCCGGCAGTTGGCCCTCTTTACTAGTCGTACGGGTGCACGTACTTGCAGAAGGATCATATAGTTTACAAGCAGCGGAGGAGGATACGAGAGATTGAGAGTTCCAAAAATCCCGCATTCGCGCATACAAAATCGACTGAAACACTTCCCGTGTCGCCTCTGTCCGACGGATCGTTGCTTTGAACCTACTCAACCTATCCTTTTCAACTTCTCCCCGAAGTAGATCAGAATTAATATTCGCACTTCTTGTCCTAGTACTGTAGAGCCAGTCTTTAGAGGTGGATTGCGGTGTATTGTTGTACTCCTGACCAAAATGCAGGTCTCGTCTATGCATTTCTCCAGTGTTTTTGCTAGTTGTATATGTTGGCGAAAAAGTTGACCTGGAAGAAGTAGCCACATGATCTCGCCCGTGAGAGCGCTTCACGCGGCGTTGTCCTGCCCTGCTGCTATCCGGCTCGTCTGATCCAAAATCAAGTTGTGCTAGCGCCGGCTTAGCTATCCGAGACCTTAGAGACCTAGCAGATGCAGAAGATTGATGCAGCCACAATCACAAGAAAAACAATTATACTACTTCTGAGGAACAAGCAGAGAGTCTTCTGGTCACTTTTAGGTACTGAGACTTAAAAACCGCCATAATGGAGCGACTGAGCGGCTTCGACGCTTTCCATGGTAGTTGTTTGATGCAGCTCGTTGACTGTCTCGTCTTGGGGGACTCTCGAAAGCCGAGAGTAAATCATTGTAGTAGCCTCCGAAGGTTCGCGATGCAACAGACAAAAACGTCCCTCCACCTGAGGCTTCCGCTTCGCGACTCCCAGTTCGAGCAGCGCTTCCAGTTGCGCCTTGTTCAGATCTGTTGATATTATGCATATGCTGTTGTTGGTCATAAAGATCATTTCGACGCTGTGGCTCTCGTTGTGGTTGTGCCTCGTGGTTTCCTTGTTGTGCTAGTAAATTTTGATCTTCGTAGTCGACGTAGGTGTATTCACCCAGAGCTTTTCTGGATGCTAGTTGGATTGATGGCACATTTTGAGTAGATGAGCCTGCTCCCGCGTGGTAATTCAATGAGCTTGGAGGCGCTCCTGCCACGTCCATGTTGTCCACTCGATCATGCCCACCAGACGAGGAGACACCAAATCTCCCACCTGCGCCTGCTACAAGTCCATATCGTCCTCTATGAGAAGCGGCAGCAGCCGTTCTTAGCTTGATGTCGACTTTGCGCAATTCGCTTAGACCGCCTACTGTTTTGCTCCCACGCAGCGACACCAGGAAACCGGTAGAAGAAGGGTTGACAGCGCCCCGACGACCTGAGAGCGATAGACTGCCGCCGGCAACGATATTGGACGCCGGCGGGGAAAGATCGACATTGTAAAATTGTGCATCGTATGCATCTTCTTCAGCTGTCAAGAGACCCGCCCTACTAAAAAAATTCGAAGTCGACATTCCACTTTGGGTATCCAAGTAGGCGCCACCAGTGGAAGGTGACGAGGCCTTGATGTTGTTTGACAACAGCGATCGCGCGTACTGACCCAACAGTAATCCCCCGCCGCCTCCAGTGTAGTTGATGTGCCTCTGTTGTGTCGGCAATGCATTACGACAGAAGTCCTTTGTTTTGATCCGTGGCAGTAATTGTGCTCGAGAATTTGATCGAACGAAGTTTCTGAAAGGCCGCGAGCTTCCAAACGTCCATAACGGAAAAGACACTGGTGATCTAAGGGCGGTTAAAGCAGCAACCGCACGTAGTACATTTCTCTCTCCACTATGATCGCTGCAGACTACTGCTGCGGCTACACCTTGTCCAGTACCAATAATGCGGCTCCCTCGTGTCTGTCCAGGAACAACGCCTGGACTCACCGCGCTGGTCACTGATGGACCCAGAACTGTTGTACCCGCCCGCCCACGCCGTCCGCCTGTTGTTTGTGCTCCGGCGTGATCATACCTTTGGTCTTGATGGTTCGGAAAGGTGTCCCAGTCGCGCATATCGCAGTGCAAAAGGCTTTCGGCACCAAAGCGTTCCGCACACATGTCGCAGAGGACGAAGATGCTCTCTTCATGGCGGAGTTCTTCATCCGGTTCATCCTTTGGCTGCTTTTCGTTTTGAAGATGTTGCTTGCGAAATGTTGATGTTGAACTCACAAAGTTCTTGAAGTCTGCATAATTTGTTCTGCTATTACTACTGAATGACCTTGTTTTCGATTGATCGAGTGTCGAGGAAGACGAAGAGAGAAATTGCTGACCTCTGGGTCTGGTGCTGCTGCCCGCTTTACTAGAAGAAGACGGAGTCGTTATCGGACGAACAGGTGGAAGCGTTTCTACTCCGTGTCGAAACCGAAAGACAAATGGATCACCGCATACAGAACAGAACAAAATGCAAGACTTTCTCATCATCTTAGCACATGCGGATGAAGAACCTGGCTCCACTCCTCCACTAGCCAATGCCTCCATATCTCGTATCTCGCGGAGCGCGCGGGCGTTACCAACGCAGGACTTGTACCTGTCTTTCTTTCCTCGACCTTCAGCAAAATCGGTGGTGCAAATGTTGACATCATCAGTAGCACTAGCAGTACTGTTTGTAGAGATTTTTCTGTACCGGCGGGAGCCGCCTGCCGGGTACAGGCTCCAGAAAGGAGATGTCCTTTCTGCATCTTGCTCCAGAAGAGTGTTGCCGCTTCTGCGTCGCGATTCTGCGCGCTGTTCTTCAGACCTCCTTTGTCTTTTCGAATCTTGCTCAACAAGAGAGTGACGAGGTCTTTCCAAAAACCTGGAAAGGTGGTCAAAAACTAGCCAATGAAGATAAGCGTCAAGAGGACGCGACGACGGTTGTGCTGGGTCATCATTGGACATTCTGCCATCACGCGCTTTCGGTGCGCCGCAATACCGTTGCATCTGGCGCTTCAGTCTCTTCTCCCAACGGCCGTAGCGATAACTCCTACTTGAAGATGATCCCCCACGACCTCTGTGCTCTGCATCAGTCGTTCCCGTTGTAGGTGGTGGTCTTCCACTATTGCTAGGCTCATCGTGTTGTCCTTGTTGTCCAACATCTTTTTTTGCATGTCCTGTACCTGTTAGGTCTAGTTCACTCTCCTCCTCACCGTTACTACTTGATGAGGACGCCGACTGTTGCATCCGGTCCTCGTCAACACCGTGGCAAGTAGCATCATATTCGTCGCGATTTCCCCACCTTCGTTTCGGTCGTGTCCCCGCTTGTCCCTTGTGGAATGGGAGACCGCTTATTTCACCGCTAGTTGTATCGGCAGACTTTACAGCAGACTGTGAAGAACTACTCGCAGACTCCTGTTCGTTTAATATGATATACTCAAGTTGCTCCTCGCTTCGAGATTTGTTCATGCGCTGTAGTAAGGTTCGGCTCGCGGACGCTACAGGAACATGCGGATAGATGACATCAGACGATCGGGGACTCGACGAAAGTATTGTAGCACGACTAGAAGAGGTACTGGATGTCGCCGAGACTGGTTCTGCAGTACCGACGACCCCAAACGGATTGTACTTGTGTAATAAACCCGCAAGCTGAGATGTCGAAGCCGATACGAAAGACGAGGATGCCCGTTGCATCTTTGCGGCTTCTCCGCCCGTTATACTCATGCTCCTAGGATTGCCTCGCCGAAGCGGATTTTTCAGGCGTGGCTGAAGCAGCTGCTCTTGATCACTATTTCGATCTCTCACCAGCTGTGACACGACAGGGGCGCCTAAACTGACGACCGTGTCTAAAGTTACAGAGCGTGCAAGCGTCCGCCTTTTCCGCTGCACCTGCGCCTCTTGAACTTGAATTCGTATCCTCTGTCCGTCGAGTGGCGGCGGTCCGACCTGAGAATCGTATGAGTTTGCTCCACTATCGTAGGATGCCGCGGTTTGCTGTCTCTCCAAAGCGTTTCCTTCGAAATTTTCGTGACCGTGATTTGATGCTTCTGTCGCTCCTGGGCCTGGTGAATTAAATGCTCTTTCTCTTTCCTCGTGAGGTCTTCGCTGTCTGTTTTTAGCAAGGGCATGTCGCGATGCAGGGCGGGGCCCAACTACCTTCTCGCGAACAGGATATTCCTGAAAACCCAAGAAATGTTTTTGCAGCAACTCCCTCGTTTGGGTTTGCATCTTCTCTTCATCTGTACTCATCACTAATACATTCTCATAATTTCTACTTCTGGAATCTTTTTGATGGTGTTCTGCAGCATTCTTGTTCACACCTGAAGAGCCTTGCATGTATGCACTCGTGGTCCACCTGCTTGAAGTTGTCCTAGTACAGGAACTCGTTGCGTGACGAATACGCATACGCCGTTGCTGGCTTTTCTGTATCGAGTTTGGTGACCTCAAGGACAACCGCGTCAAGTCCGTATTAAAGTGCGGGGACGCTGCACCGGTAGCACCCTTGACGTTCTCACCTCCTCTTGTTCCTGTCGTCGTCGAAGTCCTCGGACCTCCTCGTGCTCCAGGTGGTCGTAAAGCCGAAACGAATGTGGCATCGACATCAGCCAGATGCACAAGGTAGGGATTCGTATGGAACTCTTCCTCACTTCCCGCATCATCTTCAGAAAGATGCTCGAGTGCTTCATCTTGACGTTCTCGATTTTCCTCGTCCTGCTTTTCCATTATGGAATCAGGCGACGAGAAACGCTCAGAGCCACGCGCCCTCGTCCTATTGTCGTTGTCGGTCGCTTCGCTGTATCGTTCTTCGACTCCTTTATCAGATGAATCTTCTTGTTTGATGCTCCTCGAAGGAACAACGCCTTCGACAAATGATAAGGTTGTTGTATCACGACGGCCATCGACCTCGTGGAGAACGTTGAGAGGTGGTGAGGATGAAGAAAACATACCCTCCTCCGGAGCTTGGAGGGTTGGGAGTACTTCTTCTGTGTCTCCATCAGGAGAAGTTTGCAGAGTTGCTCTCCTTTCCGATGGAACCTCCTGCATCTCATGGTGCATTTCTCTACTCTGCGCCTCAAGCTCTCCATCGAGGCGCTCGGAAATTTCATCTCGTGGAGTGAGTACTGGCTTAATAGCTTGTTTAAATTCGCAACGCGCCCACAATTCGTTGCGGATCGCCCTTCGTGTCCGCGTGCGGCTCTTCTGGAGTGTCTTCAATTCTACGCTTGAGTACGTTACAAGAGATGACCTTTTTCGCAGCGGCAAAAGCGATCGCAGATCCGCATATTTTTTCAGCAACTCGCGGTTCCACACAGCTTCATCGCTTGTTCTTTTGTTTGTTGACTGGAAGATGTCCGTGCTTGTACCTGGGGTGCTGTTGGGCTCTTTCAAATCATGCGATCTTCTTGCTGTGCCTGAGTGTTGCTGATCTAATTTTCGTATTTTGTCCTCACTTGTTGTAGGTATTAAACCGCTGTGGTCGTCACTTAAAAGTAGAAGATGCCGGCTCTTGTCTTCGAGAAGACGCACTAAAAATTGACGCGGAAAAAATTCACCCCAAGAGAGACGCACGAGGTCTCCCTTTTCCTTGTAGTTCATCGCAGTCCTCGATGGAGGCCTCAACAAAAGAACTGAACTAGCGTCACTTCTAGGAAAGATGTTGCTGGTACCGTAGTTGTAGTTGGCCACGTTCCTATTGCTATCCATATACATCGCGGAGTAGAGAAAACCAAGCGTAGGAAGCACGGAAATGCTTCTAGCAGGTTCTAAAGCCGCACGTGATGAGTCATGACTTCTACCTTCTCCTCCACTCACAAGTTTTCGATGAAATATCACATTTTCGAAATTGTGCTCGTCGACTCCGCGGCTTCCCTTCATTCCAATGCTGTGAAATAGGTTTGTTCCCCGTGCTGAAGAGAAAGCTCTGAGGGACGCGTTTGAGGACACTGAAGACGGTTGATCCACTGTGTTTATGGTAATGTTTTCAACGCGCGCGACAATGGCATCGAAGCTAGAAAGCTTGTTAGTATTGTGCACATAGTCTACCGTACTGAGTATTCTTCGAGTTATTTTGGACTTCGGGACGTTATTTTGCTGACGTTGTGGTTCGACACCGTCAAGAGCATCCATTTCGCTGCCTAATCGTGCGAGCTTTTGCAGACGATCTTCGAACGCGTCACACGGTCGACGAAACCAAAGTGGATCCCAGGAGTCTTCAATATCATGCTGATGGAGAAAAAGATCCCATTCTGTCTGGCCGCCTTGCCCAGTGGCTTGAAAGTCCGCGATTACGTGTTGTCCTAGTTGACTATTTCTCAGCTGCAGCTGCTGCAGCATGGGGGACGGAGCTGGAATTAAAACGCTGCGTCTACTGGCGTGGTTATTGTCATCTCGCCCTTGTTGTGCTCCAAGTAATTGCACCCGCCGACGTGATGTTGGACTCCAGCTAATTGCCCTCGAGCTCGACGAAGATGCTTGGAGGTTGTTCTTGGAATTTTTTCTATTACTAATATTTCGCGTCGTACTATTAGTTTTACTTGTACCGCGACTCTTCGAGTTCGAAAAAGGAGACTCGAAAACTCCTCGCACCATCTTGTTTTCGCTGCCTGATCCTGGCGATATCCTAGTGATATTGGTCCTTGAGTTCTTCGTTCGTGATACTGTCGCAGGTGGAACAATATCTTCTTGTGTAGACGTTGGTGCTGCTTCCTGGTTTTCCTGTGCGTCTGCGTCCTGGGTTTCGTAAAGAGTTGGTGATGCTGAAGTGTCCTCGTGATCCTGTTCTTCAATATTCACACCTACTAATAGTGTTTTCTCCTTCTGCACCACAGGTCCATCTAATATCTCAAAATCTACTGCTGGTGGTCCCATGCTCCCCAGTTGTTCAGCAACATTTGTACTATGAGGGTCATTTTGTTGCTCCTGTAGTTGCACATGATCTACACCATTGAAGACAGCCCCAGACTCGGGGACTTGTCTGCGCCCTTCACTTCTAGACGAGCTTGAGTTGAAGTTAGGGGAAGGACTAGTTGTATGTGCCTGATCGTTTAAGACTAGAAAGAGCGGTCGTGGAGCTTCGATATTTGAGGCAAGAACATACTTCCCAACATGGCGCCATACGTCAAAAACGCCAAGAAAAACGTTCAGCGCTAGTTGCTTCTCTTGGTCCTGAAAGTTTGTGTTGTAGGCACGCTGGATGCTCGTGAAAATCTCCTTGGAGTTGCGCAATGTTCGCACAATCTGGTATTTCTTGTGTGCGACAGAGCCTGCATACTGCATGCTCAAGGCATCGCCTGAGATTTCGTACATGTCATTCAACAGGGCTGCCAAGTGCGAGTCCAGTTCAATCACTCGTGGTAACCGCATCGTTGACGCAGTTGAAGGAGTGCCTGCTGCCGCCGTAAGGACACGGCCTCTCTTGCCAAAAGCACCAGCAGTAGATGAATTGTTGCTGTTGTAGGAGCTGTCGGGGTGTGCAACCTCCGAGCGCGATCCTGTTTCCGGGAGAACAAAGCAACCAGCAGATGAGTCAGGAGCATGTTCCTGCGGCAGGTCACCGTCGAAAACGTTGAATCTTTTTCCGCCAATCCGAAGATGTAACTTCTCTGCTTGCTGGAGGAGTAGGGTCGAGTTCACTTGCCCGCCCGCAGTGTAGGATGGGTTCGGAACTAGCCCGGATGAAGGTAAATACCCTGGAAAATGCTGAATCACTCCAAGGGCACACAATTGCCTCTCAAACACTTCGCGACCAAGGAAAAAAAGGAGCACATTAGTCCTATCCAGACAATCGACGCAGTTTACGCGTACGATACCCGACTGAGCACGCAGACACACTATCTTACTGCTCGGACTAGTAGAAGGTGCGCTTTTTCCTCTATTTTGGTCTTGGCCTGAAGTAGCATTGGAGGAAACATCACGACCCTTTATTTTTTGCGCATGGAAAAAGCCGACGCAGTCAACCAAATTTGCAGCCCGGTCACATAGAAGCGCATGAAATCGATTCGTCACACTCGACGAGGAACCATCGTCGTTTTTCCCAGCTGCCTTCATATCCAGATGCTGGTACACAATCTCTGGCCTCGGTGTTTTTATCTTGCTAAAAGCTGCAGTCCTTGCAGGAGCTGCTCCAGGAGTTCGAGTATCAATTTCTTTGGCTATTTGACGTATTGCTGTTTCCATATTCTGACCAAGAAAAGCCTCGTCTGTTCCCGAGAGACCGCGCATTAGATTGACGACAAACAGGGGCGAGCCATACCTTTCGAACAAGTCAGCAATGTGCGCTCGAGTGGCCGAAAACGTGGGATCGGACCGTCGCGGATACACGATAGGTGGTTTAAAATTCATTGCCGCGGACTCCTGCGACCAAAATAGCGGGACGCTACCGCGGATCTGCACAAAGGACAAGACATCTGCGTGCGGGTGTTGCTGTGTCACGACCTGCTCGGTTTCCACCTCATTCGCGCAATGCCCACGCTCGTTCAGGCCACGCTTTCGGAAGCGTGTGCCGGCGTAAAGCGTGCTGCGTCGACTAATCAAGCAAACCTCGAGCTGCAGACTGTAGCTGCACACAGTGCTGCACTCTATGTAGCCGTGAATCACAGTGAGGAAGAGTCGTCGCAGGATTGTAGTCGTCGCGGCCAAGGGTGAACTTGAGTAGGATTCCTCGCTCTCGGCAGATGTTTGCCTATCCTTACTACTGGAACCTGAGGATGTTGGAGCTGCCGTCGTTGCTTTTTGAGAAAGACTAGTCGTAGTCGTACTAGTGTTCGTATTCCTAGACCTTGGATCAGGGGAATAGCTCTCTGCTATAGGGGACAGCATGTGTCGATTCCAGATGAAACGGAAAAAATGCGGATCAGGTTCTAGAGGATCATTCTCCCGTCCCGTAGAGGTGTATGATAGCGACGCTTTCGACAAGGTGCTGCCTTCCTCCAACTCTGAATGGTTTTGCTGCACTGTCCGCGACAATTCATAGGTGTAGGAGAAGTAAAAATGTCCTTGACGCAGAATAGAGTGCCATCTTTCCACCCATTTAGCTTCCTCTTGATCGAGAAGTCGAAGCTCCTCCTCTGAGTAGGGCGACGCAACGTCGCGGCTGGATGCTTCTTCAGAGATTCGCCCTTCTTCTAGTGTGCGTTCATCGGGTAACCCTCGATTCTGTAACAAGGGTCGTGAAGAGGTATCAGATCTGCTAATGTAAGCAGCATTTTCCTGCGCAGCCTGATCCTGCTCGACATTCCTTGTCACTGGAGATGAAGACGTATGATCTTTCGCGGCTGCATAGACGTCATCGCGCTCATCAACTTCAAATGCTGCCAGAGATGAATCTAATTGCGGACCTCGACCAGGCTCATCATTAAGTCCTTCTGTGCCTCTGCCTGCATGAGGATAAGGAGAACGAAAATTTCTTCTAACATTGTAGCTAGACCGAGAAGTATTTCGGCGACCACCATCTTCTTGGTCGTCGGGACTTGAAGATACCGGGGTCGTCCTCGAATTAGCTTTTCGGTCATTGTCGTCCCTCGCTTTTTCCTCATCTTCGTCACGCGGTAGCGTACTAAAGAGAGGCGCAAGCTCCGCTTTTTCAACTTCGAACATCTGATGGTATCCCAGAGCACCAACGCGACGTTTGCGTGTACACATGACTAGATAGTAGCCTCGAACGAATTTGACAAACCCTAGCATTCCACAAGCATCACTAACAACAATGGCAGCGGAGAAGATGGGATCCAAGTGCGGCGGTGTCGGTTGAGACGATTGCGTATTAGCATTAGGAGTAGCAGTTCTACCTTTTCCTGGTACGTAGTTATCGCGACCTAACCCGAAATATGTAGAACTCTGATCAGATGTTTGCTGGTCAGCAGTATAATTCGTGGTCATTCCCGGGAAAGCGACATTCGATTCAGACGCCACCTCGACAGTTGGGGATTCTCCTCCTCCACCTCGTGCCCCACCACCAGATATGGCGTTGAAGAGGCTGTAGAATGGAGCCAGAAAAACGTCCCGCTTCCTTGTCTCCTTCGCCGGCCCGCGCCGGGCTAGATTATCCTCAGCTGTGCGGACACCGTATGCACAACGTCTCAGGAAGCGCCGAACCTCGGACACGGTGAGCCATCTGTCACCACCAGCAAGCTCCAGCCATGCTTCTTCACTCCGATCCTGGGGAACAGTCACGTGGTGCACTGGAGGTGCAGGTCCAGAAACGCCCGTGTTGATAATGGGCAGCCGATGCCGCCTCCCACTTCTGTTCCGGTCCACTGCAACAAGCTGCTTACGGCCTCGACGTCGACTCATAATCTTACACGACGTAGATGACAAATAGATTCTTTTCGCTCCAGTTGAATCTTCGTCGTTATTTTCTGACTCGACATTGTCGTCCACCTTTGGCGCAAGTCTTCGTCTCAAACAGCTTAGGCCAGACCGGACTTCTAGCAACAGATATCCTCGACCATTATCAACGCGTTCTCCGGCTCCTTTGCGCCCGACAATGTAGAATACACCGGCTGTAATGCCACGATAAACATCGTACCGTTCGCACGGTCGCTCGAACAACGAAGTCCCGAACACCGAACACATGGCGTAGCTTGATGTCTTCCGGAACCACGAAGTCCTGGCGCCTTGTTACATTCACAAGCACACCTCCTCGAGAGTCAGGAGTTTAGCCAAGATAAAAACGTCCGTTTTATACATTCGTCTTATTCATGTAGTAAGGTCATCTCGTCTTTTTCGAGGCTGCTCTGTGTCGCGACGACCACAAACGTCTAATTCCCGTGGTCCCGTAGATATTGACGGCATCGCAGCCTGGACCGAAACGCGATCATGTCAGCGCCTGTCATTTGGTTGGTCAGGTCTTCAGAAAAAGTGGACCAGCCTTCCTTGAATGCCTTCGCCAGAAAGCAAGAGCGTCGACCCCTCTCTTCATGTGGTTGCTGTATTTGGTCAGTGGCGCAGACACTACGCGATAACGAAAAATCAAATACAACAAGAATTTTTGAAGTCTTCTGAAGAGTCTCTGGAATAAAATAAAAAGCAGTCAAGAAAAATAAGTGGTACCTAGTCTTAGTTGGATGTTTGAGGAGCATAAAAAACTTAACCCTCACTGGTGAAGAACATGCGCGAAAAGAGAAATCAATTTCAATGAAACACATCAATTCGTTAAGTAAAACTCATCATCTGCTGCTGCGGCCACAATAATACTGGACCCTGCAGCACCTTTTTTGATCTACCCGTCAAATTTAGTCCAGCACTTGGATGGAGGAAATCCGCTAATCATTAGGCACATCAAGGGCTGCACCTGACACTGCCTTTGCGTCACTCAGATCGATAGAAGCAAGCTGTTGTAATTACCTGAAGATGTTGTCGGAGTTCTTGGTCACGACTCTGTCCTGCTGCAGCTCCTAGACTCTGAATTAACCGATGCAGGGATTTACCTGTTGCGTATCGATGACTCAACTACCTTTACGGTTGAGTATACCCTCGAGGCTGATTATGCATCAAGATCTTGCTCCGGTTCTTTTTGGTTCATCTTGTAATGAAAGTAAGAAGCAGAAGTTGTAAGCGCATCTTCTTTAGTTGCATAATGCAGTTCTTCTCTTCATAGAGTTTTTCCGAGCAGCCAGATGTTTCAGTAGGGAGGCCCAGCGCGTTTGTTATGGATCAACCACGACGGTGATTCTTCGCCTTCTCTCGACTGGATGCTCTCAGATGATGCTAGTATGCGAAAGCGAATCCCTCTACCCGAAACAAATCAACCCCGTGTCAAAAATGCTGTCAAATAATTTTAGATACACACTCATTGCATGATGCTCATTAAACGTTTCCTTTCCCAAAACAAGCATTACGGCTCACTGTGGTCTCCAATTGTAGTATAATTTCTGCATAGTTGTAACAAGTACATGTCTTCCATATTTTATGATACATTTTTTTACAACATTCAACATCTATTTCTAGCAAAGACTAGCGAATCCATCGTCGTGCAATACTTTTCCTCATGAGCAAGCGAGCTATTGACAAACATACATTACATAGTCGTCGTGTGTGGTATACATCTATTTCTAGTTTCATAATACAACTGAACATGATAGGCGACGTCCGTACAGGTATGACAAAAAAAACTACAAAAAGAATAATCCGTCCCACTCCCAGTCTGTCCATCACCTCCTAGTTGTTCCTTTCTGGAAGAGACGAGCCCGAGTTTCATTTTTTGAAATGACGGAGGATATCACAAAGTTGTACTTAGCTGGATAATAGTGCTATGCGGCTACTTTGGTAAACTCAATTCTTAACGTCAAAAGTCCGTAAGGGCGTTGAGGCATTTGTGGTTTCTGCTTGAATCTTCTGATGAAATATCGTAGTAGTTAGACACGAGTTTCTTTAGGTAGTCGTAGTATTGTTACTATACGATAGTAGACTTTTCTGTTCAGCACGGTCATTATTTGTAATGTGTTCGAGAAGTGTACTAGAAGAAATATTCTTAGGCGTTCTTATTATGCGTTCTAATCAGCGATGACGTGACTGCGAACAAGGAAAGCGTGCGCGTGCACAACGTAGACATTATGATAGCGATATATCACCAACCATACCTCCTAGCTATTCCTGCTGCACGACCAGCATTTTACATCTTCTGCCGAATCAATACCCTCGACAACAGCGTTTCTCATCTGTTGACCTAACTTGTAGGACGCTATTGAGCTGCCGCCGCCGCGAAGTTTAACTCGTCACCACTTTGACTCGTCCTCGTCGTGTGTGACGCACTGTTTACGGCAATCACGCGGGGACCAACGCCCGTCGACGTGCGAGTCTGCATGACCACTCCTACGTTATTTCCTACGAGATCCACCTGCGGCGCGACTGATGATACCTCACTTGCTCCCTGTGCCGCTGGTGCTCCGGACGCCTCGACAACGCGTGTAACGCCTACTCCGCTGGAACTCCTTGATCGAGGCTGGAATTGGTACCCGCCGGCGCTGCCTCCAACGCTTGAAGACACTGAGCTACCTGGGCCCTTGCTAGGTCCTCGGCTGCTCATGGGTACACTCATGCATTAGAAGAGAAAACCTAGAGGACCCTGAAGACTGAAAAAGATTTTCAACATCTTGGTCTTGGTCATTTATGATTTTCTATTTAATACTTCGTTCTTGTGTCAACTTTGAACTTTCTTCTACCTGTTGGTTCATCTAGAAGAATCTAAGTACATCTACATCATCTAGCGTCTAAGAAAAAAATTATAAAAAATCAACATGAGCCTTAAATCCTGGATGTCGACATATGTGACCTGGAAGACATGACGCTCCGGTTCAGCTCTCCTGCGCGCTGAATGGCACGCTTGCGCCGATGATCGTAGGGTGCCTCTGGAGCGTATGCGCCGGGCCCAGGTGTATCCTCAGGCACAGCTAAATGTCGGCTGTTGAGACAAGACGTGGTAGAGGAGCAGGTGAAAGCAGAAACATTATGATGGACCATCTTCATGGTTGAAGAATCTTCAAAATCAAAACATCATGACCACAGCAACTTCTTCATCTTGGGCGCAGAAGTACTACTATGATCTACTACTCAGAGTCCACGTACTAGCAAAGATGCACCAGCAGAGAAGTAGAAGTTGTGAAAGTACTACTAGGTTAGAATCGTTACAATCGAGGAAGGTTATATACCTCATTGATGCAGGTGCTGAAACGCGGGCGTTTGTTCGTCCTGAATGCGGAATCTTCACCCCCTTAGAATGCCTGGTATCCGCGTGGGGAATCCGCGGAGTGTATGCGGCGGGGCCAGGTGTCTGCTCCATTGGCGCAGTGGCAAACCGTGGACTCCTCGACCCCAGATGCGGAACTGCTTTTCGCAACAAAGTCGAACCTACAATGTATATGTATGAGGATAGACTCAGAGGAGAGCAGCTTGTTATTTGTCTTCTTTCACGGTGGCTGATCATAATCCTGTTGCATGCTGGTCGTGCTCGTCGAGTGTCGACGTATCACAATCTTTTATTCAATTCTGTCAACATCTTCATGAACGCGTTTATCGTACATTTTCGCGCAGTGTCTAGTCGGACAACTGCAACCTACAACGAATCATATTTAATATATTGCTGGAAGGGCTATACGCTAGAGGTAAAAACTAACCGGTTGTTTTATTTAGTGCTTTGAGCGCCGCTGGACCTAAACCTCAACGAATCATATTTAATATACAAAATCCTGAGTGAAGGTAACCTGGAGCGTAGAACTGAGGCGCACCCGAACCGGGATCCGATTTGTTCAGCCAGCCCGTTTTTCGACTAGCTTTGCCTATGACACCACCTCGAGACTTCTTTTCACCAAAGTTGCTCAACTTTTCATAGTAGCCTGGTCTTGCTTCCGCATCTGAGTAAAGACGTTAAGCAGAAAGCCATTTACTTTACGATGATTTCATACTTACATAATGATGGAAAAAAAATGCACCACAGCAAGTTCGACGTGTCGCAAAGAAGCTAAACTTACTAACAAGAACAACTTGGGTTATCAAGATACAACTTTTACTTCTACCCTCTCTCAGTTTCTGGGGCCACGCTGTTGTTGTCTCTCGAACCGGTGCGCGTTTAGGTCCACCCTTGATTGTAATCGCGCTTGCCGTCTTGAGCGAGCTTGATACAGTTTCGTAGCTCCCAGGTCCAGGTGTGTCTTCCGCTATGGAATTACGCAGCTTTGCTAAAAGTGGAGCAGAGAGTAAATCCACATATATTTCATCTTCAAATAATGCCGATCAAGCAATCTTTTCACGACGGTATTTAGTATTGTACAAAGAAACTGCTTGGATTTACTAAAATCTAAATTAAGTGAAACTCGATACTTCTGCTCCCAATGTTCGCTCTAGGAATTGAGCCTGGGCCAGCGCTAGGACCGGTTTTAAGGGTAGACTTTTGTGGCAGAAATTCGCTTGTGGCCGTCGGTGCCTTGTCAATTTTGTTGACACCAAAAAGCCACGTCCCCGTATCGCGTCGGGCCGCGGGCATCGCGTGGCCCTCATGGTATTTAAAACGCGTCCAAGACATGATGTGGTCTTTGAAAATTAAGGATCTAGGTCAATGCCCATCCCATGACCAGAGTATGAACTTTCTCGTTCTGCGTTGTTCCACTTAACGAATGTCGATAATCCGCAGGAGACTATGGAGGCATAATGTAATTCTTATTGCTGTCCGATCGTAGTTAATAAAACAAAGAGACTGAAAATGCTAGAAGCGAATCCTTCCTTAATTCTTTTTATTTTCGTTCTTACTTATTATTTTCCCAAGATGATTCGTGTAAGAAGTGTGCCACTCGAGGTCGTATGTAGTCACTACCTGCAGGAAACGTCACTATATCATTTCCCTCATCTCTATCTCTCGGTTGCTTTTCTGCCCAGACGATTTTGCAAGCACATTTATTTTTCTCGATAGAGCTCCATCGATGGAGGGCCCTTCGACCTGTTCATAGACAACATGAGGAACAAATCCATTACTAGACAAGGACGTGGATCTGCTTCGTCTCTGTGCTTCGCCCGATATCGTGCTCCTGGAGAGAGGGTTTGATTCTTGCCTTATAAGAGAACGGAAGCCTATAGATACGAAGGCCACATTCTTCATTCTTGTGGATTTCCGCAAAAAAGTTCAACATCAATCTTGCTTTGGTAGTTTTAGCACCTCTACAACTGTTAGGACTCAACTGACGTTATTCATCAGAAACCAGTATTCATCTTTGACCAGCGAATAAACAAAATAGGAAACTACCTAGGGTTCAAGATTTTTCTTCATCTGGTTCAGCCATGTAAGTATTAAGAAACTTTAACTTAATTGGTAGAGCTACTTCTACAACAGTACACAAAGAATCTAAGTCTAGTATAACTATATTAATCTGTATCTTAAATTATCTGACAATAGCCTCACCAAAAAAGTTGTTGCTCATCACGCATCTGACTGATAGATTTCATCCGCAGGCGGTCCTGCCTCCTCGAGTTGCATTCGTCGGAGTTCCGGATCCGTTGCCGCTTCTTCGAAGCCACGGCGCTCTGCTTCAGGCACACCTAGTTGTTCCAAACTATAGCGTTCCACACTGGACGAACTTTTCTGTGTTCCAACTACAGCTGGCAACTGTTCTCCAAGCGTTTCATCCACATCACCACCAACACCGTGAGCCGCAACGTCACCGACACTGCCCTTGTCGCTCGAGGTCGGTCCTGGAGGCTCTTGGGCATCTGCACACCGCCTGTCGCCCGGCTCTGTGCAAATTGCGCCGGCGTGCATTAGAACTACTAAGATGTGACCGCCAACGTAGTAGATGAATATCAGATATCTTATATTTATAAGCCTTCTTATCTCTCATGATATTAGATTAGAACTCACACTCAGCTGAAATAGATACTGGAACCAAGATAAACATCTATCTGTCGGTCGTAAATAACCCTTTTCTCGATCTCTGGTTTGCCGAGAAATTCCCTGTGCCGCTAGCTCCTCTTGTGACAAACCTGCTTTTGCGCCTTCCAAAGAAAGAGGCAGTTTAGGTCGCATGTGATCGTGCGCTGCGAGAATGTCGCTCCGACTAGCAGCAGAAAGCTTTCCTTCGTCTGACTCCAACATCTGGCGTTCGTGGAGGAGCTCAAATTTCGCTATTTCCGGATGCTTCGCTTTGAATTCGTCTGTGAAAACCCGTTTTTTCACCAAGGAACCATCTGGACCGAAGAACGTCTCGATCCGGAAAATACAGACATTAGAGGTAGAAGTTGGACCGTTCCTATGCTCAGGTGAAAGTTCCTTGTTCTGACATCGAAGAAATAGAGCAACACAACCGTAAGAGGAACAACAATCAAGATTATCTTAGGCCTACCTCCTCTTACGCTCCTTGAGCTGGTAGATGAAAATGTGAGTGATGTCAAAGTCAATTACTTTTACAGCAATTACAACCTGATTCATAATTTCATTTGCTGCAGCAGCATCATTTTTCCTCAGCTTTCCAGGTAGAGCGACGGGGGAAACGAGTGGTCCCTCTTCCAGCTTTTCAAAGGGAAGGTCGGACTTTGGACCGATTGTAATGATTACGTCTTTTCGCCGGAATTTCTTGCCGAAAGGCGACGCAGTGCCACCTCCAGCCGATGCCCCGTTTGCTCCGTTAATGCCTCCTCGTCCTGCTGTTTCGCTTTCAGTTCCGTTCCGCTTGGCATAGAGATAGTCGGGATTTCCTTCGGGTGGAAATTCTGAGACGACCTCATCTTTGTTCAGGTCCACGTCGTCGCAGTAGACGTTGGCCCGAAGATGCGCCTGTTGATCGTTGGCACAAGGATAGGGTGTGTCGCAGATCCGCGCGTGGGCTTCCTTGTCGGCCGCAGACATCTTCGGTAAGTCGTAATCACGCGTCGGGCAGACCCCCTTCCAATTGATCGGCGCAACGCAGCTCTTGTCCTTCGCTAAGCACCAACTCGTTGGACACGGCAAAGCATAGTCACGGATGCTGCAAAACGCTGTTCGAACTGGAAGTCCTCGAGACTTTATCTTCTTACTCAACATGATTTCACCACGATGGTGAGCAAAAGACCCAAACGTCGTCGAACCTCCTGCACCTGCCTCTACTCCTCCAGGGAGCGCATGCAACGCGGCAGCAACAAAATCGCGGAATAGCTGAAAAAAGCTGCTGCGAACTAGCGTCCCCGCATCAACAAGACTAGTAACGTTGCCACTTGATGTTGGGGTCTCATGCCAAGAAGGCAAAAACGAGGTTTTCATCGACGATCTAGTCGTTGCCCAATCGTCAATGAGGTGTCTCAAAGCACCATCATCACCCGGAGACGCTGCGGACGCAACGTCAAGAATGAGTGTAGACAATCTTGCAGCTCCAGCCATGACTCATTTTTTGTGCACCGGAATATCGAAATAACGGCTGCAAATAAGAAGGAGCTGAATTATTATGGAAATGCGTCAGCTGCTAAGTGTGCTATTACAACTAGTGTTGTAAGAACGAAATTTAACACTTTCTTCGTTCCTTATCCTTTCAAATAGTGCGACAGTTACGTGCCATATCATGTAGTTTGATATTGCTGTCAGTTAAGAATCTAAACATCCCAATTTTTAGAAATAAGAACAGAGTCAATTCTTCATAGAAAGTGGAGGAACAGCAAGGGGATAATTCATCAAAAATAGATCGGTAATGGTGTCAGGGGAGGAGCGGGATGGAAATCATTAGTGCTGTTCTTGAGAGGAGTACTCAAGTCGGAGCGTTGCCGAATTTTTTCACATCACCGGCCACCGAATCAAAACTCAAAATTGACAGATTTCTAGCATAGCCTTCATGCTTGTGTCCCGGTAACGATTCCGATTCGCAATTCCCGATCGTTCACCTTGCTGAGCAATCATGGGCCTTCATCTTGCCTTACTGCGTGACCGATTTAATTGTAAATCATTCTCACGCCCCGTCTTCTGTTTTAGCAAGAAGCAATCTGAATGATAAACTACTGACTTCTGCGAACCCCATAGTGCATGAGACGTGGACGTGCACCAAAGAGCACAGTAAATCATTGCGTCACGCACATATCATGTAGTAGTCCTCATCTTTGTTTATAGCGCAAAGGCAGACGAAAAAAAGCCTGCTTGGTGGGAAAGGGATATGAGGATGGGTTGGAATGGGGGCAATCCTCCAAAGACAGGTATGGGTTTATCCGAAGATCGATGTGGTCGACCACGACGGCTGAAGAAAAACAAAAATGCCAAAATGTTATGTAAATAAATAAGCGGGAAAAGTGTGAGTACTTCTATCTTATGAGGAAAGGAGCGTGATGGCGAATGTGGACACGCAGAAGTTGTGTAGGTGAAAGCAGCATGAGGTGAAGTTGCAAAGGAGAAATATATGTGCGGCAGTCTATTTCTTATTCACATTCTTCTCTTGAAGTTCCTTAAGCCAGTTATGTATGCCCACATAGAACTGCTCCACGTCGAAAGCAAACTGTCTTGCTTGAGATTCGGTAAGCACGTCATCCGCAGCCATGTTATGAAGCGTTGAGAGCCACTGTTCCAGTTTCTGTCTAGCTTCCAAGTCTTTAGGCAGTCCGCGAATCTTGTTCACGCAGCCAAGCGTTTCCTTCAGCGTTGGAAGTATCTCGTCCACTGCCCGCATATTCATCTTCAACGAGTCAATCAACGTCGTAGTAAACGTGCATGCGTCGAAAACGTGCAAGCTAGCACTGTTGTCCTCTTGATTCCCGACATCGTACAACATCGACGCTGGAACGCCCCAGGCTGTGGTTGTGCAGATATTGGTGTGGTTCGAGTAAATCATATATAAATTATTCACAAGTAATTGGTCGTATTCTCATTGACAATTGAATTCGAAATCGATATGGCAATATCATGTTACTTTTACCCCATACACATGCTTCATCAGTATCAAATACAATAGGAATGGAAAAAGTAAATCTTCAGGGAAAATAATACAGAGCAGTCTCTCCCTAGCTAGCGGAGCGTCGAGCTTGTGATCTGACCAGAATGTGCCGAAGTCTGGGTACTTTTCCTTCAATGCAGCCTGTGCGACTTTAAATTGACTGATAAGAGCGTTGCACAGCCTCTCATACTCTTTCGGTTCTATGAGGCCACTCACAAATGCCTTCTCCAGCTGTTCGACGCTATGAATGATCGAGACCCTGTTTGTGGTTGTTGCATGGGAAAGGTCAAACGAGATAAAGAGATACTGTTGGGAGAACTGATGCAGTACAGTGTAGATGTAACACGCTTGGTAATGGCATGTGCTGACTATTGATAATCGTGATATTGATACTCGTTAGCCTTACAACTAGAACTTCAACAGAGGTCAAGTATTCATGTTTAACGCATTGTACATGTTCGCATCTGCCTCGAGTGATCGCTTTTCCTGTGGCGTCAGGATTAATGGGGTCGTGCTTGTCCCCAATACTTGATGGACAGACAACATTTTTGACAAAGCACTACGAAGATGTGGATGTCGACCTATCAAATTCAAAAAAAATGAATGTTGATGAAACTCCGACTCTTCGAGAAGGAGCCACCAAAGTATTGCAGCAAGAGGACAAAATCAAACCACAGGGAACGATGCGAAATGCAAACACAATGAAACCATCAAGAGCCAAATATATTGATTTCGCAGGCCGGGGTAACACAAAATATCACCAGAAACAACAAGATATTACAATCAATGAAGCATCTGTGGCGCGTATGCGTAACAAGTAATCAAATAAAAATAGCTACCAGTCATCTTGACCTGTTCAGGGAGAAATGGGAGATGAATGATGTTCTTCATCTTGATACTCTAAAATACGAAAAAATTGGCCTGTCAAATTGAGCTCGACATGAGTGATGTCAAAACTACACGCGCTTCACAGTTACACTTGCTGTAGAAATTCAGTGTTCACTCGAGATGCACTGTTGATCTAAGATTGGATCTTCATCTTGTCCAGAACTTCTTGAAATGTGTGGGTGAAGTCTCGCTAGAAGACGATCATGATGTTGATCCAGTGGACAGTCACCGTTGCGAAGTAGATGGATTAATCTTATTCTTTGCGGATACGAAAAAACAAGAAGAGCGCTCCTTCGTTGTCAATGTTAACCACCTCAGAATTTATCAAAAATCTTTCGCGATTGTTTGAAACCCGGACTGCTCAGTAAGTGGCACCTACCAATTTTTCCTTTTTCGCGTAAAGCTTTCGCGCTGCCGTGGCACTAAATCTTCTGCAATTTAAGGGACGCGCTGCCTTGGGTAACCCCTTGCGTAGAATGATCTTCACTAACACTAAATATCGTGACCAAGCACTCTCATCATCTACTTTTCTGTCGCTGTGAGTAAAGCATCATGGATGCTCATAAATGACGCCAACTGAGCATGGAGTTCACTACTTCAAGCATCCCCCTTCGCCTACTTACACACAATCAGTGGGTTTATTGCAAATGGCACTGACGAGTATGAGAATAACGTGGATAATAAAGAACGCACTGGCGTACGGCAAAGCTTCTAACCCTAAGCTTCCTGCGCGGTACCAGATTCAAAGAATTCACCCACGTTATCGATACAGTAATCTGCTCTAGTCTCACTTTCGGAGCCTTCTGCTTCCGTGGTTACGCCAGAGAGAACGAGGAGAGTCTTCATTCTGTTGCTGAGTCCAAACAAAATGTCCGTATCAAGGCGGTCCCCTATCATCACCAGTCTTTGACGGTCCAAGCCATGCCCCTTGCACAATATATCCATCAGAAGGCTGGAGGGTTTGCCGGTGTACACGGGCTCGCGATTTGTGCACCTGTTGTGAGTACAAAAGGTGACTGTGATGAGTCACAAACAAAAATTGTGACACGCACGGTGACCAGAAGGCCACATCGTTCTTGCTGTTGAAGGCACGGCGGCGAGCAGCCCAAGCCGACAAAGTCAAGGCCGTGCCCGGCACGTGGGTTTTAGCTTGCACCTTCAGCGCAGTCTTTGACTTTGTGTAGCGCTAGCGAGTAGCGACTCGCACTCGCTGTATACGATGAATATAAAATGTAATGGAGTCAGCAGACAAATATCACTACCCCTTAATCGCACCCACGCACCATCCATTTCCTGCCCATTCGCAGTCAGGTGTGATATGGGCCACCGCGTCTGGGTTTGTCGCGATAAAAGCGCAATCTTTCACCGGATTGTATTTCTCGTTGAGACACAACTGTGCCAATTGCACCTTGTACGAAAATGAAGCAGGACAAAATCGAGCAAGCAAGCAAGCTTGAGGCGAAAAAGAGTTCCTGCGAGTGGATGTGGGAACCTACAAAATGGAATACTAATACGAAAAAAACATCAGAAGGAGCGACTAACCTCAAAGTGTTCCTGTGCGACATCTTAATAGTAAGTTTGAGCCTCCATACATCAAATAGAAATCCGGGAAGCAGTGGCAAATTCAGAATTGGATCCTTACTCTTGCTGAGCAAGAGTATTAGCACTAAGTATGACTATGATCGAAGTGTTTGTGGTCTCTCGGTCAAAATCAAAAAGCCCATGACATAAGTAGTTCAATGTGGGATCAAAGCCGCACACAACAGCCCCAATCGGCTTCTCTATGCTTGTTCCGGCGTTGTTAGTCATGCCCGCCTCAGATTTTGCCCCCGGAATGGGTATATTTTCGAAGACGCCAAAAATTCCCTTTTCTCCCGCTGCGGTGACTTTTTCGGACATCCATTTCTGCATTCTCTCATTGAACGCGGTATCTGAAGGGCCGCCGAAAACATTTATACCTTCCTGTCGCAATTCTTGCTCCAATCCAGACATTCCAATCAAGTACACAGCATGCGTCGACAGCAGCCTTGGTTGATAGAGGCGTAAATACTCAGCGCGGGCATTAGAGCTAGGTAGTGTCGAAACATCATTCAATATTGTTCGTTCGATCCTGGAACACGAAGAAAGTGGTCTTCGATACTCGTGGTCGTATGGCCTTCTACTTCTTGCATGACATATCATGCTTGCCTGAAGAAAGATATCTTCGATCCGCCTATACTAGAAGCATTGTTCGTGGATAAACAAAATCTACGAAGAGTGTCCTCCAACCTTAAAAGCGAAAGCAGCTGAATAAAGCTCGTTCGGCTCCGCGTCTATCCCGAGACTCTTCAGCTTCTCCAAGAACACACTGCGTGGCTTGGTGCTATTGTTTGTCACAAAGAAAACGCGCTTTTTCAGTGCTCGCAACTGCTCGCATTAGAGAAGAGGGATTTTTATAGGAAACCGATAACGTCATCGTCGACGACAAAAGAATACTATTGAATGCTCCTGGTTTTTTTGTAGATGAGCAAGTGCGTCTCTATGATCCTTAATTGAAAACGCCAGGAATCCGCGGATCGCACAGCTCACCAGCGCGCCATATCACTCCGTCACAGTCGAAAACGAAACCATCCACGCCGTCCAACAATGTCTTTGGTAAGCCGACTCCACGGGCAATGCGGTTCACAAAGCCACGCTGGACAATTTTTGCCGATGACGACATAGTTGAAAACGCAGCTGCAGTACTTGATGTTGAAACAGCAGCTGCGGACGCGACCATTCTGTTATTTCTGAATTATCAAGATGGATGTGGCGCAGAGAGGACAAAGAGCGAAGATAAGATCAAACAATCTGAGTTTTTTGAGTGGCTACAACGTAGAGTTGGAATAAAAACAAAAATGGCGGCCAGTTCTGCAAGCAAACGGGAGGAAGGAAAGGAACGATCGATAAATCTTCACCACAACGAGCATCGTGGTATGACCATACAACAGCTGCGGGTCTGCGAGGGATCATGATCATCTTCAACAGCCGTAGGAGAGATCCAAGTCAGTCGACCGAAGGGAAGACAGACGTGTCACATAAAAACGCGCAGCGGATCAGTGATTAACGCCTTCAATCAGCCGAAGAACTCACAACTTCAGCTACGTTGCGTCATCTCTGATGCGTAGTTTTGGCACAAGAAGCAGCTTGTTTCTTCAAGCAGGTGTCGAATGAAATTTACTCTTAATAAGATAAGACCCTGTTTCCGTTTCGATTGGTTATATTAAGTGACTTCTATTTATCGTTGTTTCGGATGTTCATCTGACGGGCGTGGACACACATGGAGACTTCATATAAGCACCGCGGGTCATCCTGTTCTTGGGCTTGACTGATGATATCGCAGTGTTGGATTCCCACAAGCTGACGGAAGAGAAGGATAGGTTCAAAATTTGTGATAATTTCACCTTCATGACGTATTATTTTCGTCATATAGGCCGTAGGCGTAGCGCTGTACATGTAAGTAATCTTGAGATAATTGTTGTTCTGTCGCGCGTACAACTCAAGTAGTCGACAATGCCGTTTGAAATGCAAGGAGGATAACATCTTGGGGTCTCTACACCTTTTGTTCGAGTATTACAGATCAGGACTTTCACCGACGTGATTCGCAGTTCCTGCGACTGGGCTTGTCGGAGCTTCCTCGCTCGGTTTCGCGGTAGTCTCGGCAGCAGTTTCATCTTCTAGATCCTCATCTCTTGTTTAGAAAGAGCAAACAGAATTACAGGACCGTAAAAATGTTCAGGATAAAGTCAAAACTCGTAAGTACAGCGGTGCTTTTGCGAAACAAGCAAGTTAACGAAATTATGTTCATCGTGCGATCTCCGCAGATGAACATGAAGGAGAAGCATTGACTGCTTAAAAATAATATCTTCGTCCGTCTCCTTTTCAGTAATACTAATATCTAAATCTCTATCTCATTTAATAAGTGTGTTCTCGACATAATCGTCATCATCATCGCCCGCATCTTCTTCGTCGATGGCCTCTTCGAAGTCGTCGGGATCCACGTTTTGCCTTCTGCAAGCCTGAATAAAGACACTGCGAGCATCGCCCTCCTCGCAGTCGTCGAAGAATGGTCGCAGCTCGTTCGCGTCCTCCGGGATTGGTGTGCCTTCTTCCGCATACTCTTCAAGCAGACGTTTCATCATTAGACCACGACTCACTTGTTGTAAGATGGAGACTTGTTTATGATCATCTTCAGTACATCTACCTGTTGTTGTTGTATGACGCAATCTTATTAAATTTCTTGAGGTTATACAACATGTTGTAATTGTGCATAGGTCCTACACAACTTGAGGGAAATAAATTCATCAGAAAAAATATTAAGAGAATCGCTGCAGAAGCAGCTACTACTGCCATTTTTGTCCAGATGAAAGGTTCAAAAATAATATCTCAACCCCTCATTAACCCTTCCTAGCCCGATTTTGATTTAAGGGAAAAAAGACCCAAAAGAGGCGACGACGAACCACACAGAAATTACATGAAAATTATATATTTATAAGTTTTTTCTAACGTCGTATGTGTCATTAGTGAATAACGCAGAAGCGGTAGTTTGTGAAAAGAGAAAGACCCTCCTTAACATGAGATAGCAGTATCGTTGGATATCACTCTGATGTGCTTCAGCTTTAGCCTCCGCCTCCTGACGCCGTTCCGCTTCGTCGAACATTTGCAGAAAAGAGCGAGACGCAATGTCAATCAAAGCAACAGGGTGACCCAGACCTGCGTCGTGGTGGATGATTAATATATTGATCAGGTTTATTAGGTGACTGTGACGAGTGGCGATTCTAGGTAGATGTACGATGAGACGAGCAACAACATCAGGATCAGACGCAGCTTTTCCACGAGAAATAAGATCAAAGCATCAGCACAATCTCCAATCGAAGTCAAAGTCAAGAACTGCAAATTAAGGCTCCTAGCACCTCTTTCTGCAATCCGCCTCATTTCTACGGAGACGTCATGTCGATTTGCGTGGGTGACTAAGAGCTCCATCGCTGTTAGTCCTAAAAATTGGACCTCCACGTCGTCCACCATCAATTGCGGCTGGGGCTTCGTATTTTCGACTTCCAAACCGTCAAGATTCTTGTACACAGGTAGTGGGTGCTCATCATTAGAGGTACTACAACTACTACATACCCCTGCACTAGCGAAACATCAAAGCGTTAGCGAAGATGCATGATCATGATAGAAGATAATCATTAACCCCCCTGACGAGGACGACATCTTCGTCGAGTAGAGCTAGAAGTGGTGAGGGTGACGTATAATATTTTCGTTGCATCTTCTAGGATACAAGTAGGGGCCATACCATCGAATTCTACACATCGTTGGCGATATAACAAGTGTTCGCGGCCACGGCATTCGAGCATTTCGACGTCCACGTTCTCCGCGCGCAATTGATGACCTTTACGTGTATACAGATCGATCATTCGCTTTCGGTACTCCCACTGAACCGTGCGGAGTCTGGGTGTTTTTCGAATGTACTGAGGCGGCGGCGGTAGCGGCGGTATGTACTCGGGTTCGATATCCTCCTCTGCAATACCCATCCGCTCACACTGTTCCAAATACATCTTGTGATATTTTGGAGTTTAGAAAAAGCAAAGCTGGTATACTTCTACATCGAATCAATTTTGCTTCATAAGGGTACACGATATCTTTCAAGTAGAAGAAGGTGTTCGTGTACTAAATCTAGAAGACGCATCTATAAGCAATAGACTATGGCGACGCACGAACGCGGTGAAGAACATGTAAAGTGAATTTTCATCAAACATAAGTGTCAGGCCACTTTCGTAGTTGGCTTGTAATCTCGCGCTGCCCGCGAGCACTATCTGAATACTCCTCTCCGAACACGACACGGAGCCGCCTTCCGTATTCATCTGCGAGCGTCGGATGCTTTGGCTGTGGAGGGTGCCACTGCTTTTTCCGATTCTCCTCCAAGCGTCGTTGCATTAGACTTGAGCTTGACGAGCTGCTACTTCAGTCTCGGTTTAGCTTGAACTTGATGTAGGCTTTTTACTTACTTAAAACCTCCTTCATAACTTCAATTCATCGGTCCTCGCATATTCTTTGATGAGTGCGCGGATGTTGCAATCCTCCTCGTATTGCTGGCAGAGCAGTACCGACTGATCCTTCTCAACCTCGATGTAGTGCGGGTCGTCCTTCTGCAACCATCGAAAGATATCTTTAGAGAGGGAACAAGATCGGATTCCAGTTTCTTGTTGCGCTTGTTGTGGCGTGTCGTGGCAAAGATACCGTAGTTGTTAAGTAGAAGTTTACTTTTCTTTCATTGACATTTACTTCGCCATAGTTGGTTAGTAACAAGTACTTAAGTACATCAAGATTACAATTTCGATGCGCATACCGAGTCTGAGTCTAATCAGTATCAGGTACCGCGTCTAAGCCTACTGAGGTAAAAATGGAAGCCTTAATGCTCTGCGCCATGTCGATGATTTGAGAATAGTGCTGTTCCTCTTGCTGTTCTTCCTGTTCATCGATGATCTCGTATCGGCGCTCAAGCTTCGCTGGCGGTGGTGCGGACAGCAGGGTGTCCCCTGGTGTTGCGGTGGTACTAGCGTCGCCCGACACTGACTGCAAACCGCGGCGTACAGAATCCAAAGTGTTCCCGTCCGCGTCTACCTCGTACGTTCCTGGCGGAAGAGGCTCTAAGTTTGTTGCTTGGGCGGTGGAAATACTGGTCCCCCCGTCACCCGCAGCATCTTCTACACCGTCTGTAGCTCTTGCTATTGAAGTAGCGTTATTCTCGCCCCCTCCTGGCTCGTCTGTCCTCCTATTTGTGCCGCGCGCAGTAGACGATGAATCTTTGGTCGCATCTGCTAGAGAAGTATCGTCTCCTGCCACATCACTAGACGATGGCATCCCCTCAGTGGCCCCTGTTTGCGACCGCGACGTACCGGGATTCACACTAGAAGATGCCGTGCCATCTTCCGGCGCATCTGCGGCTGAGGAAGTCGCCAGGCCTTCCATGATACCTTTAGAGGGGTAAAAAATCATGGATCTTCATCTACTTCTCAGAAAGGATCCCAGTGCGATTATTCATAGCCAGTCTACATAATGCCTCACACCCACGTTACCTTTAAAACCGGGTAGACATGTCGAAGATTATCTTTTCTTACTGTTCCTAGACTGCCGGCATAAGAACAGCACCTTCGCTTGATTCTGCGCCACCTTCCGATGAAGCAAGCACCTTCTGCGTAGAAGTTGGTTCTACAGTGGAAGGGCCGAATCCACCACCTGTTGATGGCGGATCAACAGACGAGTCCGCAACAGCAGCTTGTTCATCTGTTGACGAAAATGTCACTGATTTTCGTTTTCTTCCTCCAGGGTCGTCGTCACCTGCTCCGTCACCGTCTTCGCCGTTGCTCTTCGCTCTCGTCGTCTCGTTTTCGGAAGACCCAGACGTGCCAGCACGAACTTCTCCGTCTTGAGGATTCGCACCATCCTCGTCCCACTCCGGTGGGGCTTTCAACAGAGTCCCCCCAACAGCCTCCACTTCCTCGCCGTCACCAGGTTCTTGCAAAGCATCTCCAACGCGGTCACCTCCATCACCAGCTTCTCCTCCTCCAGTTGCTTCTTCGTCGGCGTTTCCTCTATCGCCTGAAGGGCGCTCCTCCTCATCGAGGTAGCGTTTTTTCACGTGCATGCTCCCTAGTTTCCTCTTTGCTGGAGGCAGTTTGTAGATGAAGTCCGCCGCATTGAGCAGGCAGGTCCAGCTCGCGAGATTCAGCGTTCGATCCTCTGGGTAGAGCTTCATCACATACCAGGCCGCATGGAAACAGATTTTGCTGTTCTCAAACAGCGTGGACAAAGCCAGCAACCCGAACAGCGCTAAGGCGCGCAGTTCGTGCGCGTACTTCTCCATGGCGTCGAATATCAGGAAAGAAATGCGTTTCTTAAACCGCGCATTGCTTTTCCACACCTCGCGTCGTCGATCCTGCACTGCAATGGCGGCGGTGAGTCGGCACAGCGCCGAGAGCAACAATCCACGCCCAGGATACTGCTCAAAGCCGTCCACGATTTTATCGAGGAGACCGAAACTCAGCATGTGCATCTGCATGCCCATCGGGGCCTCCTCGTACATCGCGCACAACAGAAGCGGAATGCCAGCATTGGCGTTGAGAAAGGGGATGGTCAGCGCTGCAGCGTGATGGGAGACGCACACGTCTAACAATGCGTGGATGCGACAAAGACGGGATGTATGCCTTCGCTCCACAAATGCCTGCCCATGCGGCAGAGCCTCCTCTTTCTTTTTCTGATTTTCGTTCGCGCCCTTTCCCCGTCCGCCGCGCCCGCGCTTGGGCTGCGCCGCTTTCGTCTTTGCCTTTGTGACTGGTTGCTCCGGTGATGACAAGCCCTGTTCCTGCATGCGCCGCTCCGCGATTTTCAGCAATTTCTTACGGACGTGCGCTTCGTCCGACACGAACTCGCCAGGCGTCTGCAAGTCGAAGTAGTCGTCGAACACTGCCTGCCTCAGGAGCAGAAACAGCGCGCAACAATAACCCTGTATTGCCGCTGTCTCTTCCCGATCTTCGCGGAGCTGTGCCTCCTTCGCTTTCCGTCGTCGCCGCACGTCTTCGGCATCCAGCACTTGCGTCGAAGCGCCACCACTCAATGGCGCAATTATGGTCGCGGCAGCTGCTGCTAGCGGCGCCGATGCAGCTGCATTCCCTGTTTCGACGGCAGCATCTACACCGTCAATTGGCAAAACTTCCATAGAAACTCCTGCAAGGTCTCTCTCAGGATAGTAAAGGATCAAGCTGTCCTTATCTTCCGGACCTTGTTGACTCTCTGGAAGAGCGTCGTTGCTTTCCTTACTGCCTCCCGCAGCTCCGCCACCGCTCTCAACAGCGCTACCACCTCCAGTTGCAGTTGCACCTATGAAATCCTCCTCCGAAGTAGAAACACTGCCGACATTTCCGTGGTCACCTCCTTGTTCCTCCTGCGTTGCTTCGCGTGGTTTGTCCACCTGCATGCTTGCAACCCCTATCCGGTATAGCTTTTTCATCTTCGTGGCGAGTCCAAGCAGCAAGCCCTGACACAACTTGCGCGCCAAGGGCAAAGGGATCATGTAGGTGGCTAGTCGGTGTCCGTGTTCACTGTCCGCGTCCCCTTCAGAATCAACGTCATAGCATGGCGATTCAACAAGAAACTAATAATGATACAAAGCAAACCGCTCCCAAAAACCGACTAGAAACCGACTGGCGTCCAGGTCTTTAGAAAGGCTTCCGAGCACACAGATCCGCACGGTTCTAGAGCAGCCGGCACCTCTTTCAGACTCCCAGAACCCAAGAGCCACGAGCAAGAAACCCGGAGGATTCCCTTACAAGGTCGCCAAGCCGTGCCGGGCTGTCCAATTTTGGACAGGACTAGAAACAACCCACACGGACCAAAGCAAGCTGGACAGACAAAGCAAGTTGGACAAAGCAAGTTGGACAAAGCAAGTTGGACAAAGCAAGTCGGACAAAGCAAGTTGGACAAAGCAAGTCGGACAAAGCAAGTTGGACAAAGCAAGTTGGACGAAGCAAGTTGGACAAAGCAAGTTGGACGAAGCGACGAAGCAAGTTGGACGAAACGAGTGGGACTGACAGAGCAAGCGAGCGCAGCAAGCTGGACAAAGCAAGTTGGACCAAGCAAGCTGAACAAAGCAAGCAAGACAAAGCTGTGGGGCGAAGGAAATGAGACTACCAAAGGCCGAAGCAATGCAAGTGGGACAAAGCAAGTTGGACGCGCACAAAGCAACTTGGACAAAGGCGAAGCAAGTTGGACGCGGACAGAGCAAGTCGGGCGCAGACAAAGAAACTTGGACCGAGCAAGTTGGACAAGGCAAGGTGAACGAAGCGAGTTGGGCGAAGCAACTCAGTGGCACGAAGCTGGTTCGTTGGGCGAAGTAGCTCTAGCTAGTCAGATTCACGCAGAGCAAGTTGGACAAAACAAGTTGGACAAAACTAGCCAGGCGAAGCAAGGAAGCTGGACAACACAAAGCAAGTCAGACAAAGCATGGGCGCTGGAGACGGAAAGACAAAGCAAGCGGGACAAAGCAAGTCAGACCACAAGGAAGGGGGCAAGTTTGGCGCACAGACGAAAGGCGTGGGACAGAGCAAGCGGGACAAGAATAAAGCAACAGCAAGCGGGGCAAAGCCAGCCTTCCCTACAACCAACACCAAGACCAGCAAGCCGCGCTAAGCTGTCCAATTTTGGACAACGCTAGAAGCAACCCACACCAAGACAAAGCGAAAGAGCCAATTAGCTAAGTGAAAAAAGCTAGGCGAAGCAAGTTGGGCGAAGCAAATTAAGCAAAGCAAGCCCTTCAGACAAAGCAAGACAAACGACAAAAAAAGCGGCGCGACAGCGAGCACAGCCTCGAGGGCGAGGCGGAGCAGGCGCTGTGCCTCAAAGTCAGTCAGCTTGGCCAGATCGCAGCCAAGGTGAAGCGACTACTAGACAGAACCAAACACAGAACCGAGGCCGCGAGCCTCTGCCCCCTCTCTCCCTCTGCCTCCAGCGCGTCAGCCTGGTTAATTTTTTCTACGAGCCCGGCCCCAACACGAAGACACGCGCAGAAACAAGCACCAAAGCCCGCCAGCGCCCTTCGTGTGGGCGCGGGTGAGGGAAAGTGAGTGCCACGCAGTCACCAGCGCGCAGGGGCCAGGGCATCAAGCTGAAACCACAAGCACAAGCACAACCCACACCCCGCACCCGGCTGACAGAAAACCACACCCATGCAGCGAGACCCTCCGCGAACTCCAGCCCAACAGCGCCAGCTCCCCCCAAGCTGACCAACGACCAACCAAGCGAATGCGAAACACAAAGGGGGCACACGCTGGCGGCGGCGCTGGGCTGTGGTCTTCTTGCTCCCCCTGCTCCAAGCCCCGCCAGGTCTGGAAGACGAACCACAGACAGCGGCAAAACCATCACGCGAAATCTTGCTGGAAGGAGTGAGTCCAGCCACCTCCTGACTCACTGACGCCGAGGCGAGCTTGTTACCCCAGCAAAATCCCACAAGCAGGCGGCACCCTCCTGGAACACTCAAAACGAGAAGAACAAGAACAGAAGAAACGAGCAGCCGGCCGAACCCATTCGCGACGCCTTTTGCCGTGGACCATATCACGTTCCAAACGGCCGCTCGAACTATGCAGCTCCGGCCTGCGGTCGGTGTCCTTTCGGGGTGTCCCTGTCTCAAGCTCCATCTTGTTCCCCATTGTCTCGAGCCTTCCCGAGGTGGGAGGCTTCTCAAGTTGCACGACTTCACACACATCAGACACAGCAAGCAAACACACTCAACACACACCAAGCCCCACACTTGCCAGAAAGGTGGTCTCCCAACAACAGAGAAGAGAAGAGGAGCAGACGCAACGCAACAATCAAACCGCCGAAGCTCAGCAGCCAGCAGCAGCCCCCCAGCCAGGCCACCCACCTCCACCGCCATCCCCACTCTGCGGCCAAACGACACACACGAGCTGGAGCGGCCCCGAAACTGTACTGACGTCCCCAAACCCGGCGGCTTTTTGTCTGTTCTCCCCCCAAAGTGCTTGCACCGCGCACAGGCGGCCCTCCTCTTGTACCGCTTTGCCGCTGCTTCCAACCGTGGCAGGCGTCACCGCTTCAAGAATGCCAGCAGATGACTGACCTACCACACAAAAAGAGCACAGCCCGCGCCCCACCCAGTGAATTAATACCGAAAAGAACACACCCAAGCCGCGAATCCAAGTGCGCCACCCCTTGCTTACTTTAACGCACCCACTCGCAACGCAAGCACTACCCAAACCACCAGGCAGCGAACACATCACAACACGACACACACCACTCACACCCGACGGCATGCGCTACGAATGTGGGAAACACCCCGCCCGCCGAGCAGCGCCCAGCGAGCTGGCTCGCCAGCTGCTTGGCCATGGTTGACTTCACACGCGGAGCGACACGCCCACCAGCGAGAAAGAACACGACACCAAACGCAAGCAGAGGCGAAGACAGCCGCGAAGCTGCTGGCCTGGCGCTGTGTGTGTGTGTGTTTCTCTCTTTGGTTGGTTTTCGTCTTGGGTTGGGGCACACTTATGCCCAGCCCCAGCGGGCCGGTTTTGCGCTTTTGTCTAATGAATGCGATGGACTTCCCTTGGGGCTCACTCTCTGTCCCAGAACGAAGACGGCCTTGACCACAAAAACGAAAAGCCGGCGGGCCATTAGAGTGCTAGCCTAAATTCCCTCCACATTCTTGCAGGGGGCGGGAGGATACACAAGGGCAAACCCACTCGCAGAGCCCCTTAGCTATGTGCTAGCCCTCTTGTCTTCGTTCACTACTCAAGAGAGCCACGAGCACAAGTGCACCCGCCATACCTTTGCCCAATGCCGCCACTGAAGCCGAAGCCGATGGATGGCGCCCGGATCTCAGCAGCGGCAGAAGCGAGCCCACTTACTTGCAAACTGACTGGGTTACACAATTCAAGCACGCGCCATGACTGAAACAAAGACCAGCCAGCAAATGCATGCGACTGAGTGAAGCGCCAGCCCCTGGCGATGGTGCACGCCCATGCCTTCTAGATCACGACAGCAACAGAACAGGCGCCGCCCGTCTCTTCAGAAAAAAGCTATGGGCTGAGAGGCATGGAGGTGCCCAGCCTGTCCAATATTGGACAGCACGGATTTCACGCAACAAGCCCCCCTTTGCCTCTGCCCTTGTTCCAATAGTTACTGGCCCGACGCTTCTCGAAAACTCACCCGGGGCCCCCCTTGCTTTGCCTAATGATGAAGCCCCTCAGCGAGTGAGCCTGGCGCTTAATTGGGAAGCGTGGGCGCTGGCTGGTGGATGGGTGAGCCCGCGCGGGGGCTGGCTGAGTCCGAGTGACTGAGTGCCTTGGGAATCATCAAGACAAGGAAAAACGTGGGCCGGCTTCGAAAGTTCTTGGCAATTCTAAAACAAGACGAACGGCCTCGAGGTGATAGGGAGCGTCGCGCAGTGAGAGGCCCACCGGCTGCCCCTGGCGAGCCCATGCCCTTTGGCCACCGAGTAAGAAGCTCAGGCGCTACAAATTCCAAAGGCTGAAGGCCAACCGCTTCAGAGGCTTCAATAAGGGAAAAAGGCGGCGCTTCTTATCAAATACCCATGCTGTCGCGTCGATTCTTAAGGGGACGCGGACACCTGACAAGGACACCGACTCCGCACCTACAGATCAAACTCTGATTGCAAAGGTCGTCTCCGAAACTGCTCACGTCCTGCGTTCGCCGGATGGTGCCGCAGCGTGCAACGTGCCGGCCGACGAAGAAGCCGATCGCTCGGTCTAGGGAAGTTTTACTCTTCTTTATTTTCGGAGGAGCTCCTGCAGCATTCGAATTCATTGATGATGTTCCTGGCACAGCACCATCTCGCAAGGCTTGCGCGTCCACTCCGCTGGCCTCCGCGGCACTCGCTACGAGGATTTCATACGCGATCTCCAGAGCTTCTGGCATAAAGAAGTCGACTTTCGCTAGTGCGAGCCACGCGAAGGAGCTGGTCGGACACTGCAACAGATAGCGCACCAGCGGTTTGCAATCGATTTTATGCAGTAAAGCACTCACTTTGCATAACTGTAACGCTGTTTCCGGTTCCCGCATTTGCCTCCACAAAGGGAGAATGCGGTTTTGGACCACGAAATTGTAGTCGGGATGCTTTTTCACATCCTCATGGAACCGGTTTGGCCTGCAAAAAGCCTCCCACTCTTTCCGCTCTTGCTCGAGTCGAGCGAGTTCCTCAACTCGTTGCCGCTCCGCGTCCTCCAAGGCTCGCTGTCGGTCTTCCTCTTCCCGCTTCAACCGTTCCTCCTCAGCCTTACGCTTCTTTTCCTCATCTGCGGCTTTCTTCTCTTCACCGATCAGCTTTTTTCCCGCAGTTTTCTTCTTCGCACTAGCGGCTTTGGCCTTCGCCTTGCCAGCTGGAGCGCTCGTCCCTTTTGCCTGCTTCCGCGCTGCGATTTCCGCCGCACAAAATGAAGGAGAGGTGCTAGTAGATGGATCATAGAGAGGCGTTGCAGAGAAGTGTTACCTTCATCTCTACATACTTATATATTCTGTGACCAAAAAGGAAGTAGTTCAAGAAGATTTCCATGATCATCCAGTTGTACTAGACTTAGGTCTAAAACCACGACAGCGACAATCTTCTAACATAAAATCTTCTCTTCTTCTTTGCGTTTTTTCTCTGCGATGAAGGCTCGTCGCTCCATTTCTTTCTTCATGAAGGCCTCCTTTTCCTCGGCGATCGGATCGTAGCCAGGCTCCATATCTCCCCGTCGTAGAGCCTCTTTATTTTGCACAAAGATCGGCGGATTCCGATTATCCTTGTCTTCTTCCAGCGGTAAGAAGCAACACACGCATTCCAATAGATTTCGCCCGATCGGTTCTCTATTTATCTGCCGGTCGAGTTCGTCGAAAACTGGGTCCAACAACAAGCGAGGCTTAGAGTTCTCCAAGACCTCTAGGGATTAGAGGAACGACGTCCATGATCTCGTGATTAGAATTATAACGAAGATGAAGATGATCGTCCATACCCAAGAACATGTTGTTCTTGTTCTTTTTGACGAGAGAACGACAACAACAATATAGCCGACAAACTGCAGACGTGGTCCTCTTCATAATGAAAGGAGGCGTCGTAGGAGGTAACTTTTGCGATGAGGTGCGGTGGAAGCAAGATGCGTGCCTGCATTAGCTGGAGCTTGTCTGGCTTCGGGAATTTCGGTTGCATCAGTACTTCTACGTCTTCAGCTGTCGAGTCAAGCAGGTGCAATCGCCGAGAGACATATTTCAGAGTATTCGTCAGCGTCTGGATGCGCAGCGAATCCCCAACTCCACGTCGTTCGAACCGATCGAAATTTAGGTCCTCGTGACCGGGCCTGTTTTGGTTGTAATAAGAAACGAACACCTAAAAATACGATTATAGTTCACTGGACGAGCCAACGACAACAACTAGGGTAGAGCGGGCAATGCGGGAGATTTTTCAATTCCCGCCTAGTTTGTTCTTGCCTTAATAGCCTTCATATAAATATTAAGACGATCACAATATAACGGAGGTCGTACTCGTAGTTCGCCTGAGCAGAACTGCTTCTGATGACATTTTTGAGTGAAATAAAGTAGTACTCCACATTTTCGAGCTCTATATCCATTTTCATCCGCGGACCGGGAGGCGAGTAGAGATAGAACTCTCGCGCATGTCGGAAGACCCGCCTTGGACCACCTTTAGAGGTTTTTGTACCTGTGCCTGATCATCCAGAAACGATCATCATCATGACTGCGTCCCAAGTGGTCATACCGAACCACCGGCAAGACGAAACATTTCCTGCGACGGTCAGAGATCTAACATGGATGCTATCAATCAACAAGTTGTTCAGTTTCAAGAATTATGCTGCACATGATCAAGACACACAGTAGCCTTAATCGCCCCAGCAGCCTTGTTCTTTGGCTTAGTGTCTGCGCTGTCTTCATCGCTCGAAGACTTCTCGTCTTTGCCCTCCTTCTTAACATCCCCACCGTCCTCTTTGGCCTCTCCCGCCGCCTCTGCGCCAGCCTTGCCATCAGCATTTTCGCCAGCGTCAGGCGGTCGCGGTTGTGCCGGTGGTGGTTCCGCCGAATCTGTGGTCGTGCCTGCACCCGTCGCAGAGTCCTCCATAGTGCCTCACGCTAGCGCCCGAAAAGGTAAATCGTCACTCAGGTCAGTCCGCTTATGCGTAGCATGTAGCCGTCCTTGCTGGTCAATGGTCATTGGGTTTGGGAAAATGTAGTGGTCAGCCTTTGCGTCAGCAACACATTGATCCAATTGCGTCTCTTTGTTAGAAAAATCCATCTGCAGACTCCCACGCTTTGAGTTTTTTCATACATACGATCTTCATCTTGCATACTAAGTCTTAGCACAGTTCTCGTTTTTAAAGCAGAACAGGAAGACCCACTTGTAAGTCCTCGCGCTTTCTCTTTCTCCTTTAACATTTTTTTGGCGAACTGCCAGACCGCTAGCAGGCACGACCTGGTCCGACCTCTTTTTGTGAACCTGACCCTGTTGAGTTTCTCAGTTTATAACGTGAAAGTTTTTGAATCATGGACAAGCAAAACGGCGGCAAGTGCTTAGTTCTCTCGAAAAGTTCGCTCGCACAAACCGAGTTTATTTGCCTCAGATTTGCTCATCCTCTTTCTCTAAGAGATGTGTTCGCGCACCACCACCGAGCTGAAATCTCAGAAATAGACGAGATTTGCCGTGTTCATCCCGTACTGTCCTGAGGTAGTAGTGCGCATTGTTGCTCCTGGTCCTCTCCTGCCCACCAACAGACTGCAACAATGCATCTTTTTTCTCGAGCCTGGTTCTGTATGGCCTCAGACAGCATAGCGTACTCGTGGTAGAACAGATCCTCCTCCTCGTTATCAAGATTGATTATGGCCCAGTCAAGTGATTGACGAGCAGAAAAGTTGCGAAGAAAGGATGTGCGCGCATTGTCGCAAAACGCAAAACTACCCCAAAAACGGAGGACTCACGATTGACCAGCATTGGAGGTTCAACATGCAATCCCTTCCTTGGTAAAACTGCATGGGTTCAAGATGAGAGGGGTCAGAGCTCCTGTCAGCAGCTCCATGTGCATTCGAAAATTCTAGTGCAAGATCTATCCTCAGAAGCAGCACGGAATCTCATCATACACGATTTTCCCTCGTCTGCGCGTCGGACAGCATTTGTGGTTCGAGGAGTGGTGTTCGCAGATTATTCTTTTCATATGCGCTTTTTTCGTCTGGAATTCCAACGGCCTCTTCAGCTGCATTCAAAATTGTCGTAGTAGTATCTCCAGCCGCACCATTCAACATTGATGTTGTACTCTCCTTCCATCCCTCCAGTAGCAATGGCGCGTAATGGCCCTTGAAAAAATCCCTGCCTTCGTTTGCCTTCAGCCATTGTGAATAGCATCCGAAGAGGCATGCGAGCGAACCCAATCCGCCAGCCCATGTTTGGTTCAGCCTCTGATTTCGAAACGCAGGCGGTAACATGAAATAAATCGCGCACGGCAAGTCCAAAAAGAGGAGTCTGATCAAGTTCAGCCGCAGATGTCGCGCCTGCTCGGCTAGCGTTGTGAACGCAGAACTGCTCGTGGAACTGTTAGTTCATCATGAGACTTAAATTTACGAGTGCGATCTGCGTCAGTCATGATTGATGCGAGGATGAAGATGAAAACTGAGTGCTGAGGAGACCAGTAGAAAAACAACAAAGAGGAAACAAACTTTCCGCCAAAAATGTTACCACGCATTCATTTCGCTCGACACTTTTCTGTATGAGAGAGCGTCGCGAACTGCGAGAGGCACGATCTCCGTAAGCCAGAAAAATTCGATGATGCGGTCGAGCCAGTCTGCGGCACTCTCTGACATTCTAAGAACCTTCATGCGTTCAAAAAATGCGACGTGGTCTAAGAGCCTGTAGACCCAATCCTGAGAGACGCCGATAAGAGTCAGTACGTCGTGACGTCGCTGGTGGAATATAGCGTCTGCAGCGGACACTGACGAGTTGGGATTTGATGTAGTGCTGTTACAACTGTCGACGTTGTTATAACTTGTCTTGATTTTATCCGCGATCTCACACATTTCGCTAAACATTCGGATTGGCGTGAACCATCGCATGCTTTTCCGCGTCATAGACATAAAACCGGCGAGCGCCATGAAGGGCTGATACCGAAACACACCGAAGAGAAAACGCCCGAAATACTGCCAAAATCGGAATGTCTTCTCGCGGCCAGTTTCGTTCTGCGAAAACGCGATTGCATCTTTTATGAGAAGATGGAGAGCGCTGATTAGCCTTTCGTTGTTCTTTGTCTTCCCATCAGGACTGGTCTGTTGTGTAGTTGGACTTAACGACGTCCCAGATGCAGAGCCGCTTTCTTGCAGACGTCGAACACGCAAAACCAGCGCACGCAACAGGAGTACGAGAGTCGGCTCCTCGGACTCCATCATTTATGCTTGTTACAGACGATAAAAACAGAAACTACAGTGATGTTAGATTTTGGACTTTTAAGTTTTTTCGTACCCACAATTGCCAAGACGGCAGCGTACTGGTTTCGCCGGATTTACGGCCCTCTTTCACGTTCCAAAGAAAATCTAACAAAAAAACGAGGATGAGAACAATAAGATGATTGTCAGACAATGAAAGAAAAGGAATCGACAAAAACATCAACTACTGCTTGTTCAGTTGAGGCGAGTAGCATCCAACAATGCTGCACGAAATCAAGGCTATGACCACCACATGAAGAACTGGAATCACCACCTACCTGATGAAAGAGGGGGTGCCACGTTCGGTGGTCATGACCAAAATTCAGCAGGTGCATGACCAGAAGTCAGCGCGTGGAAAGAGGGTGGTTATGGTCGGCACCGCCACGACAATCTGCTCTTGCTCGAGGTCTGTTATTGTCTCTTCGATAACTCGGGTTGTGAGAGAGCAAGTCCGATTCTTGACCAAGCGACCGAGGTGGAGACCTGTTTGACCGACACCGAGGACGAATCTCCTAGCTATGCTTGCTCTCTTCGTGCTTGCTCATCTTCATCAAATTGAAATTCTGTCGTTTTCATAGTTTATTGTAGTGCCACCGACCGAAATGAAGGGAGGACCGCGGGGAAATATTTTGTCGCGAGGAAGCAGCAGCAGGCAAAGCTATGCCTCCCCAGGTTGGTTGCGAAACATTACCGTCATATCCCTAGACCTACCCAGATGGTGAAAGACGTCGCAGTCGCGCGCGAGCAAAGCTTCTCCTGAAGATCAACGTTGATAGATTGTTCACGAAACAAGCACAAAGACGTGCTTAACCAAAGAGCATGCATTGGTAAGAGCAAAGAGAGCAGCGTCAGCCAAAAAAACAAATCTTCAAGAAAATCAATCACAACTTAAATAATATCTGTTTATTGCGGAATCGTTATCATTTTTCTTGCGGTGTCGATGTGTACTAATGTCATTAAAATCCTCGCTAGATTTAGTTTGTGCAACATCAATATTTGTGGTGTGCAACATCAATATTGCAATTTCTTCTAGTATGTCGTCATGAGACGGCTCTTGAGTTTCACAAAGCTCGAAGGCAGCGTCTTCTCTGGGCTAGCGTCCGTTTTCGGAGACGGCATAATTTCCTCCCCGCTGGTGAGTAGCAGAGGCGTTGGCGTCTTTTTCCGTGGATCTGCGCCCTCGTGCGCTTGAACCAGCAAGTGTTTCGGGAACATCGGGCCCATCACTTTGTCACGGTATCTTAGTTCTAGGGAGTCGTTGGTCAGAAGGGAACGCATGACACGAGCCAATGGCGCGATCCCCAACCCAAACCGCGCGGACACGCCCAAGACGTCACTGCGAGCCCTGTCACCGAATCGGCCTTGCCAACGAAAAAACGCAGAATCCAGATTGTACAGCGCGTCATCGTGCAAACGATCACACTTCGTACCAACAATCAGGAATGGTTTGTCCGCATTTAGAGGATCAAACTCTATGGCCTCTTTCCGCAAGCGCACAAATTGCTCGAACGGATCTAAACTTCTCGCGTTCTCTAGTGCAGCCGTTCTACTCGTACCTCGAAAGGCTTTCCCCTCTGCTGTCTCCGAAGAACCTTCTTCTAGTGGAGCTAGTGAATCTTGCTGGCCGCTTTCTCGAGGACTTCGTTCTGGCGCACTTTCGCCGTCGTCCGTAGTCTCAGCATGAACAATTGCAGCTCCACTCATGTCAGCATCCATTGCGTCAGCGTCGCCACTTCTGGGGACCTTATCTTCCTGTTGATCAGTGCCAGGCACTGGCATTTTCCCACTGAGAAATGACTTGACATTCTTCTCGTGCAGTAACTTGCGCACGTACTCGACGCCGGCTTCTCCTTTGCCGCTTGCCAAAAACGGAAGATCTTGGTCTTGCTCTTCTTTTTCTGCTGCGCTAGAAGGCGCACCCGCGGTGGCTGCTTCGATTGCCGTTTGCGCTTTCCGTTGTCCACCTGCGGCAGGTGTAAGCAAGTTCGACTCATCTTCCGCAGTCGCACCATTTCCTTCCAAAATAGGTGTCTCCCAAGGTGCAGAAGTGTGTTCCTTAGCTTTGCTCCCCATGTCAACCACAAAGACCAAAAGCCTTGATCGATACGTGTGACGCAGAACGCGGCGTCCCTGAAATTTGTCGTGGGCTGCTCCCGGAAGTAGACCCGGCAGGTCTGTGACGCGGTAATCCACTCCATCCCGAAATTTGAGCAGGCCAGTGTTCGGACGCGTGGTGCTGAACTCTTCTGGACCTATGCGCGTATGTGCGCGCGTCAAAGCAGCGAGCAAGGCGGTTTTACCGCTATTCGGCAGGCCTAAAAGCGCTACGTCATTTGGAATGCGATACTCCAGCTCGAGAAGTTTTTTCTCACCAGGCGCGCCCTTGCGTCCATCCTGCAATCGCAAAGCGCGCGGGCCCACACCACCAAGCCCGCCTTTGCAAATGCGGATCTGGTCACCGTGTCGCAAAAACTGGTACGCAAACTCGGGCAAATACACACGTCGACCTTCCGGTGTTCGATACACTTCACCCGTCTCCGGTACTCTGAAAAGATTATATTATAATGGACACGGACACTCACTGTACTTCTAACGATTTCGAACCGAGTTCATTAAATATTAATACTCTGACCTATGCTATGATACGAAAAAAAAGGCTCTTGTTCCTCGAGACATGTTTTATACGGAGGACATGCATCGCCTACTATGGAATAACACTACGCCAAAAGCGAACACAGAAAAGTGGTTTTTCAGCCAAAGAACGGACATGAAGCCCAGGGATCAGTTGGGCAATATTCGTCTCAAAATGGAAAAGCTAATAAGGTACAAAAAAGCGCTTTTTTTGGCTAAAGAACCACTTTCCTATGTTCGCTTTTGGCATAGTGTTACTCCATATCAACACCTACAGTACTAGGACCTGGTACCTGTAGACTCTTCTTTCTCGTATTATGGTTCCGATTGGGACGTGAAGAGTCTGTGGCTTCTGATTGCGTCCCCGTTCGGTGCCTTTGCCGTCGCCGCCGTGCTGGGCTCGAAAGGTGCGTGGTAGGCATACTAGGTTTTCCTTTGCCCTCGTTGCTTTAATCCAGACGTCTGCGCCGTGACCACCATACGCCGGACCCTTGTGATTGTTCCATTTTCGATACTTTCCAGCTTCCGGATTGCCACCATCCCCTGATCGGACGCTCATCCACAGTTTGTCGACGAAAGCATTCTGGAACCGAGGAAAGGACTCAATACTGGTATCTGTCAGCTTGCGAAGCACGCGATCTCGCTGGTTCTCGTCCTGTATATCTACTGCGTCACCCTCACCTGAAGGTGCTGCTGCATCATCTACACGACGACTATGAAGGTCTGGCGGCCGCCCTTGCTTGTCCTGGTAACTCGTCTCCTCTAGCAAGAGATAGTCGTAACTATCAGTACTGGCGGCATCTTCAGAAGATTTCTCGGTTCCGTCTGATGTATCTTGATTGTCGCGGCCGTTTTTAGCTTCCGCAAAACTCTTATTCGCAGGAGAAGAGCCACGCGTGGAAGAACAGCTTGCTTGTTGTTGTGATCTTTTGCGGTATGCGATTTCTCTTTCCTTGTGTCTCTCTGCCGCGCGCTCTTTTCGTTCCTTCTTCTCTTCCTTTCGCTTTATCTGCTCCTGCCACTCTGATTCCTCTTTTTCTGCTAGAAGTCTAGACATTGTTAGACTTGTCACACGTTTTCCATCGGATCGATCGATTCCAGCCAATAGCATTTTTTCTCCAGGAAGGCCACCATGCCTGTCAAGGACGTCTTTGATGCGACTATGAAAAGCAACAATATCCGTGCACATCTTAGGCTGGGGACCAAGCGAGCAGTCCTGTGGATTCAACGCTACTCCAGTATCGGTTGTCGATACAGCTCTTGGAAGAGAAGTTTTACTGGAAGTTGACAAAGACAACGAGGAGCCACTGATATCATCAGAGATTTCTTGTTCCATTTCCATTGTCCTCGAGTCCACGTCATGGATTAAAACGCCTTTACCAGTCGCCGCTCCCATCCGTTCATCAGCCAGACCACTGTCTTCTATATCCATTGCGCCAGTGGACGTGGATGACCCACTCGCAGACGACTTAGATACCGCCAAGGATAAGGAGGTCTCCATATCCAAATCGTCGCTTTCGAAAGCGAAGCCGCTGGCGCGATGGAACGGTCCAGCGATCACATGCTCAGAAATATCTGTTCCACAAGACGACCGTCTGCTACGCGATGGAGCGCTCTTTCTCCCGCGACCATGAGGCGTGCTACAGCTACTGTACTCGCTCCGTCCGCCGTTAGGACCTGCATCAGTGGTATAGTCTCGTCGCTGCACTTTTTCTGCGTGATCGCCCGCCCGCATCCCTCCATCTTCTGGTCCATCGCTGATTGTTACCTCAGGAGCATAACCAGGCACTTGATGCCCATTCGAAAACAAACGGTGCTGGTGCGCGGTTCCTCCCCAAACGCTTTTAGGACAAGATTCTTCGAGGCCTCCACTTCCTAGCGGAACAACGCTATCTTGAGTATGCTTCCTCCAGCACGAACGGGATCGGACGAGTCGCGTGGCACGTGCAATTTCTGACGCCGCCGAAGCGGTTGACGTTGATCCGTGCAGGTGAACATGACCTATTCGAAACGACAAAGGAGACGGAGGCTGCTTCATTCTTGCTGCATTCTGTTGACTGCATCAACATCTTGAATGAAGACAATGCTGACTCTGACAACGGCGGGATGAATGAATATGCGCCACGCCTCTCCACCAAGAAGGGAATGTGGAATAAGCCCTCTTCCTCTTTCAACAAAATATGTGCAGTCTTGGATGTATCTTATAAATGATGCACCAGGCGCAAAGGTAAACTTGATACAGAGTATATTTGTTCGACTCCAGTCGCTCAGATCCATCATTGCACTCTCAGTGGATGACAGCGGAAAGCGGATACATCAGGAGCAAGGTATTTACAAGGTAGAACGGAGATGAGACCCTAACGTTTACGAAATGCAGATGCTCATCGCCTGCGAAGGCAGAAGCGTGCGAAACATTTCAACTCACTTTGTAGCAATGCGACGTCCATGCATATCAACATGATGTTCATCTAGAAAGAAAAGCGAGAGATCGATATCCAACGTCTGCTTGAGCCCCGCTGTCAACAGCGTTACCAGGAAGCAAAGTCCTTGCGCGCTTCTTCCATCTCCCGAAGGAATTCCTGCGTGTGCGGTCACTGATGTCTTTTTCTAGAAGCACGGCTCTACATTAATGGTTCTGGTAGTCTTCACTTCTGTCCATGGTTGTTCTCCACCTTGTTAAAGCTCTTGATGAGCCGGCTTTCAGTATGAAAATATGGACCCACCTTGTTGTTGTCTTCCGAAGAATATCATATCAAGGGAGCACTACATTCGTCATCTTCTATAAAATCATAACCATGTTGAGGACTGGTGTGGAACGCCCTACCTTTCATCAACACGAACATCTTAACAAAGTTATGTTTGTTAAACAAACTGCAACCTCCACATCATATTATCTGGTTAGTACTTACATGATCGGCATGCTCGCTTGTTGTGAATACGGCTGTAGGACGGGTGCAATCCGTGCCTTCCTTGGGTAATAGATCTCTGCCCAGGCTGTCTGTCACCTGGCTCGTTTATTGTTCGTTTTCTTCTATATCTATCAAGAGTTATGTTGATGAAGATGTTGGTAATGGAGAAGATGAAGCTGATCTTTCTTGGCTTCTAGTTCTACCAAAAATCATTATGATAGTACTGCGTTCGTTTCACTGTACATTATATCGCGAAATGTTGTTGGTAACGGACGGAAATCCACACACATTCAGCGTTTTTCACTGGATGTGGCGCAGTACATTTGAAACTCAGGAAAATGTATTAAGGTTAAGGACATTAAATGCCGCTGCGACTTCGACTAGAAGCGTTTTTATTTGGCTTGTTGTTCTCACTGCGTATGTGCATAGTTACTCTGCCATGATCTTCAATTATTGAAGTTATTGCTATTATGCATTTCTTATGTTTAGTCGTGAGTGCCTGACAAGCGATTGAGGCTTTATAGTATACCATGTCGAGCTGTCCGTCACTCTATGCTAGCTCATACAGAGAAAAGTCCTCCAACATATTATGTCATTTTTCTACATCCACTGTTTATTTCATCATACAAGGTAGCGTCTTCTAGCAGTATTGCGGCAGCGAGACTTTCATGCACTTAAGCGGCAAGCTTGTCGTGATTCTTAACCTTATGCTCCAATAGATACGATTCAGCCAACCGTTATAAAGATACAAACATTCATGAAAATTTAAATGAACATGGTGAAGATCCAACGTTTATTGGTTGTGAAGTAAGAACCTCAATGAATAGCGATACATACTGTCATTTAGCAGAGTTTCTTTATCATCCATCGTTTTTCGTGGTCGACAAAAAATATCATACAGTTTATGAAGTTGAAGATGCCAATTGCATTGTCATGACAGACCCACCTATGTACAAGAAGTGTTGTAGTCCGAACGATCCAAAGAGGTCAGACCAAACGAACAAGAACAACATTAGATACACGACGTACTTCTTCCGACATTCATCAACAGCAACTACAACCATGTTGACCTACTCAATGTCCCCTAGCAGGCAGCGTCTGTCTTGTTTGTCTTGTTTCTTTTTGATATTTTTTGATCTGATTGATTACATATTTCAGAATGTAATGGGCATGCATATCAAAATCTGTAAAAATAATTCGTGAGTTTATACCGTCGCCAATGCGCATAGTTTTGTATGGAAAGGGACCAAAAAAATTACGAAAAGATCGATCCCAAAAGTCAAAACTGCAAATATACACCGCAACTACGAAGCTGCAGCCTTCCGTATTCCAATATGTACAAGTGTGAGTCTTCTAATGTCCTTCATCCAGCAACGGCAGCACCCAGCATTTTGCTGCTGAACCCCTTGTGGGCCAGAAGAAAGATCATCAACCTTCTAGTTCTAGTAACTTTTTCCAACTCATTGCAAAAAACATTAAAGCCTAGCATTTTACATATATTCGTTATCAGCAGCGACATGGGAGACGATCCGCGTGCGTCCCATAAGGAAGCAGAAACGTAATGGTGTCTCCTCAGTTTGTTGCATTGATGAAGGTCAAAACTACCTATTATCAAAATGCAAATATCAAATAAGCTAACATATTCAAGGAGACCTCCGTCCCTCCAGAGACTTGACAGACAGCGCTTTGCATCGATCATCAGACTGATAGGCTAATATGTTAGAAGAAGTAGGATATTTCCACTAATATTGTTCCGCTGGTGGTATTCACTGAATGCAGCATGATCGTTTTTTCTCATCTTCATGGTCATCCACCCTTGATGAAAGAAGCCATCTACCTGGCATGATACTCGGCATAGCACCAATTATACTTGAACTAGTGATCTTCATAGGTGCTCCTCCTTGAAGACCAGAAATATCCGCAATCGCAACTAGCGACGCAGTCTCTTCTACCTCATGAATCGGGTTACTAGTGAAAAACTACCACCACCCTCTGCAGTCTTGTTTCCCTTCAGATGAAAGGCGGCACGTCGGATGGCACGGCAGGTCGGATGGCACGGGGAGAAGAACATCGGCGCCCTACAACCTCACTCTAAGCTGAAGTCACTTTTCATTATATTCGATTTCGAACTACTTCAATAACTTCTCATCATTTACGTTGAAAAAATTACAAAAAGAAATAAGAGGCAATCGAGATAGATTAACCTCGACTATCTAACTGACCCCAGGCCTGAATTCGTAACCAATATTCAACGAGTCGGGTAGAAAGACAAAAACAGAAGGAAGCGGAACCAAGAAAGTAAAGGTTTTTGGTGCCTGTATTAATAACTGGCCGTTGACGTCATCCACCGTGCCCGTACTTGCCCTAGTTTTCTTGTTGGTGCATGCTCATGCATAAAAATGATAAATAACGCTGTAGCTTGTAGGCCCTAAGCCCTCTCCCTCATGCATAACAAAAAATCAGCAACGCCCCCCCAAGCTCCGAACAGAAAACACCTGAACCGAAAGCACTTGAACCAGAAACACCTGAACCGAAAACACTCGGACCAAAAACACTTGAACCAAATACACTTGAGCCAAATATTCATCAATTTAGATTCTAAGCGATAAAATCCAAGAGCTTTGCTATTTTGCGCAAAAGCTGCAAAGTTCTGACTTTGTCGACCAAAATTAAGTTTCAAACTTTTCAAGTTCAAGAACTCAAATCCAAAAACTCAAGCCCAAAGCCTCAGGCTCAAGGCCTCAAGCCCCAAACTTCAAGCCCAACACTTCGGGTCCAAGGCTTCAAGCCCAAAATTTCAAAGCCAAGACTTCAAGCCATACGCTTGAAGTCCAAAATTTCCAATCCAAAGCCCCAAATCAAAGACCTTAAGTCCAAAACTTCAGACCCAAAGTCTCAGAGCCAAGACTTCAGGCCAAACCCATCAAGCCCAGCACTTCGCCCGAGTCCAAAGCTTCAGCTTGCAAGTCCAAAGCTTCAAAATCAAAGCGCCAAGCTCGAAGCTCTACGCCTCGAACTTTGCTGAACAAGCGCAAAGCTTCACACTGAAAGCGGCCGCGAGCTTCAAGCTGCAAGCCAAAATCTCCAATCAATCTCGCCCCAGGTCTCCACCTCAAAGACTTACGCGCGAAGCTTCGCACTCAAGACTCCCAACCCAAAGCCCTGCACTAAATTCAAAAGCAGACAAACCCTGAGACATCTCAAAAACCTCAGAGACAGAAGCGGCCTCCTGTGTTAAATTCCGCGGCGCCTCTGTTCCGACTCCTCTGGCGCGGACCACTTCGCCAGGAAAGCGCCGCGACCTGGCGGAAGAGGAGCGGGGGAGGCCCGTCTTGACGAAGGAAATGCTGGAAGGAGGTGGAGGATTCTAGTGGAGGGAGAGCTATCGGGCGCTGAACCTGAAGTCTAGTAATGAATATAATTTTGTCGGTGTTCGCTCTTAATACCTGAGATTAAAAGTCTTCACATTACTAGTGACGACCTCGAAACCAGGTGCGAGCAGCAGGAGTCAGATATTATAAGTAGTGACGTTGCTTCGCGGTCGCCGGTCTAGCACCATACAGTATTACATCCCGAGGTCGTCCACAGTTACTAACTTAGTCAGGTGTAAAACGAACAATCTGTAGTGCGGTCCTATTTGCTTTCCTCACATCAAGTAACATATTTTAGTACTAGTACATGGTTGTTAAACTTGAATTGAGTGTGGTCGATTCTTTGAGTGTTGAATGTTGTATTTGTCTTTGAATTTGATAGTTTGATGTGCTTGTGAAGTTGAATTTGATGGAAGATTTTGAAAATCGTTTTGACTATTCTGTATTTTCTCTCTTCAAGAAGCCGTTGCTGTTGCATTCTTTGCGATATACGTCATTGATGGCGATGAGTCAGCTTTTTCCTCCTCATAGAATGAATTTTTGCATATTACAAATACAGTCATGTGAGTGAACTGTCTCTATATTAATCTCCATCAACACTAAATGTGATCGATAAATAAGTAAATTCTTGTAGTAGTACTGCAGTAGTACAGACACGCTTTGCATTAGTATTTGTTTTTCTCACTCCCACGTACAAGAAGACTAATCTTCTTGCGCCTGACGGATGAAGGATGAGCAATGGCCGCACAGCATCTGCACAAGTTTCTCATCGTCGGCACTAAACGGCACCACGTTACCGTTTTCATCTTTCTTGTTCACCATCTCGACCAAGCCAATCACTTTTTTAGAGCACCAGACGAAAAGAAGTACAGGATCTACTAAATAATTGTAGAAATTCTGAGATGTCACGTATCATATGGTATCGGATGTCAAAAGTAGTCACAATCGAATTCCAAAAAGGGAAAAAATAAGGTGTAAACGACCTGCCTTAACTTTCCGCTCGCTTGCAGGTGTCGTGCCCGGTACCTGTGGTCGTACGATGATATTGTAGAAAGATTTTACTACAGCATTGAAACACTTCTAGTTGTCCTGCTTAGCCAGAGATGTCGATGAAATCGATCGGGCCAAAAACATCACCATCACAAGAGAGATTGATTAGGGGTTCAAGGTTAGTTCAAAAATCGGACATAGGACATACCAGTTCGTCCACTTCCTCGAAGACGGGCCCTAGCAAAAGCGTGAAAATTTTGTGGTCTGGAGCTGGCGCTGCTGCCGTCTTTTCACCGGGCTTTACCCGTTGCTGATCTTCACCTTTGTTCGACGGCGTGCTGCTGGTTGTGCTGTTCGCGCTTTTCTCATCATGCGGTGAAATCACCTCTAGTCCTCCGCCAATGACATGCGGATTTGCGCTCGCGTTCCCGCTAGGCACGTTTCTAGTAGAAGAAGGGAGCGGGAGCGGGTTGCTAGTCGCCTTCACTAGCTTCGCGTCGATGATTAGAGAAGGTCTTGGACGCGCACGCGACCCTCTGTGGCCGTGCCTCTCCATGCTAGAAAATAGTATCACGACCACGAGAAAATCATAATCAAGATGCTTTGATATAAAGAGTCCTCATGAACATAGAAGAGAATCCATCAAAGAAACGCATGAGCTAGGGTTTTTGGCTGCCAGAAAAGCCAACGAAATGCAAAAAAGTGATACATGGATCGATAAGAAACAAGCCTTAAGTCGACTTTCTCAGCACTTTGTGCGGTGGACTGCTGCTCTACTTTATGTTTCTCCCCGACCCCGAGAAGAGCCGCAGACCGAAGAACAGAGTGGGTGAAGCGAGTGTCACTAGCAACATCTGCCACATTGAAAGTTAGAAGAAGATTGCAACGTCTTGTAGGCTGGTCAGATCATGGTGAAACGCGCAGAGCTAGACGTTTCATTGTTGTTGTTGTTCTACAAGTATGCCCAAGTCGACTAAAAAGAAAGTCCTCTAAAAAAAAATTGAAAATAAAAACTACGCCGCTACAAGTACAACAACTGTGGTTCATAACAAAACGCGCTTATTAACAACGGCCCAGTGCTTTGTGCCCCCTTCAAGAAGCGACACACGCTCCTCCTCTTCTCCCGTGTCGCTTAGGTCGTCCATCATTTTCAACGCCTCTTCAATAGACAACACGGGCTTCTCGGTCACTGTATGGAAAGGGAATTATGAGGTGTAACGTTGTGTAAAAATCTTGTTCTTGTTAGGTAGAAGTGAACTGCAGAGATTGCTCAGCTTAGAAGAGGAATTATATATAATATAGGGGTTTGAATTCGAATCCATAGCATTAACCTTCGTTGTACTACAAGCAAAGCATTTATCTTATTGTTGAAAGGGCTAAGACTCTAGAGGTAAAAACTAACCGGCTGTTTTATTTAGTGCTTTGAGCGCCGCTGGACCTAAGCCCCAAGCTATATATTTACCGCCCACGTGCCCCCGGCGTGTACACACGCCGGGGCAGGGCGGAAGGGTCTTGCAAATGCTACGAGTTACATAAAACCCGCACGGCCTACCGGCGTGCTACGAATTACGTATAGAGTGGCGGGCTATGGAATAAGCAAAGCAGCTACGTGCTACAAGCTACGACGTGCTACATAAACCCTCACCCTGGAAGCACCCGAAACGCCCAAAAAGGAACTGCTTGGAACGAATGAAGTAAACGGGTAACCAAATACATTTGCCGAGAGTCAAATCCCCAGGCAGATCACTCCGGGCCTGCTGTTTTCGGTTCTCAGCGTAGTGGCTCGCTGGGCGAAGCACTCCGGTTGACTCCGCTCAACGTGAGAGCCTCACGCGCTCCCTGGCCTGGGTTTTGGGCGTGGGTCCCCTACTCTTGCAGCGTGTTGCGCCTCCGGCTGGCGTGGCAGTGTCGCGGGGGGGGCCTCAGGCTTGTTGCTTTCGGTCCTCAGCATAGTGGGCGAAGCACTACGCCCGACTCCGCTCACCGTGAGAACGTCTACAGTGGGTCTTTTCCGTGGAGAGAACTAGGGGGCGGCCCCGTTCATTCTACTCTCAGCCCGTTTGCGGGGTTTTACTCTTTGCGCCGTTTTGGGTTTTGTTCCATCCAAATCGCGCAGCTTTATGGTGTCGCGCTTTTGCCTACTTTTCAGCTGCTTCGCGTGTGCTATCTGTGAGCCTTTTACCCTCTCAAGCCTACGGTAAGCCGCGCCCTATCGCTTAGCTTCCTTGTCTGCTTCTGGCTTTCTCGAGAGGTGTGGGCATGCGTCATCTCACGGCTTTGATCTAAGTGACTGAACAAGAACAACCCCACGCGAGTGCTGCGCGGCTTTCACGTGCTTGGGCGATGCAACATGTGAGCCACTTGGGCTTTCTGATCAAGAAGCAAGCCCAAGCCGATGGGCCTGCTCGTTACTTATGGCTTACTCGAGAGGCCTTATCCTTTGCGCCCATTCTTTTCCTATCCAAAAAGCGCAGCGCGATGAAGTTGCTGCGTATTTGTGAGCTGCTTAAGAGGTCCCACCCTTTGGCGCAGTTCAAGACCCTCACCCAAACGGCGCAACGTTGTGAAGCTGCTGGCCCTTTTGACTTGCTGGAAAGGCCTCACCCTCTGACCCAGCGCAGGCACCCTACCCAAAAGGCGCAGCTTTATGAAGTTGCTGCCTACTTTTGAGCAGAGCGACCTGCTTGAAAGGTCCCAGCTTTTGACTCTGCTCAAACCTCTCACCGACCCAAAAGGCGCAGCGGTATGATATTGCTCTCCACTTTTGACCTGCTTGAAAGGTCCCAGCCTTTCAGTCAGCTCAGAGACCTTCCACAAAGGGCACAACTCTATGAAATTGCTGCCCATTTTTGACCTGCTTGAAAGGTCTCACTCTTTGGCCCAGATCTGGCCAGCCTGCTTATTCAAAGCGCGCAGCTTCATGGAATTGCTGCCCACTTTTGACCTGCTTGAAAGGTCCCACCTTTTGATCAGGCTCAAGCATCCTACCCAAAAAGCGCAACTCTATGGGGCTGCTGTCTGCTTTTGGCTTGGCTTGTTTGAGGGGTCCCGCCTCCGCCTGCCTTTTGACTTTGCATGCTCAAGCTCCCTGCCAAAAGCGCGCAACTTACTCCATGAAGCTGCTGCCTACTTTTGGCCTGCTCATAAGGTCCCACGCTTTCACTCAGTCAAGTCAAGCGCGGCCTCTTACTCAAAGAGCGCAACTGTAAGAAATTGCTGCCCACTTTTGACCTGCTTGAAAGGTCCCACCTTTTGACCCAGCTCAGGTCAGGCATCCCATCCGAAGCGCGCAACTTTATGCGACTGCTGTCGTCTACTTTTGACCTGCTTGAAGGGTCCCACCTTTTCGCCCTGCTCTGGCCGCTTATGCAAAGCGTGCGGCTTTCTGCGTTTCCTGTCTAGTCTATTTTTGACCTGCTTGAAAGGTCCCACCCTTTGACCCAGCTCAGACCCCTTATCCAAAGGGCGCAACTCTATGAAGCTGCTGCCTACTTTCGAGCTGCTTGAAAGGTGTCACCCTTTGACTTAGCTCAGGCTAAAGCCTGTTATCCAAAAAGCGCAACACTTTGCCGCTGCTGTCTGCTTTTGAGCTGCTTGAAAGGTCTCACCCTTTGACGCCGCTCAGACTCCTTATCCAAAAAGCACAACTCTATGAGATTGCTGCCTACTTTTGACCTGCTTGAAAGGCCTCACCCTTTGAGCCAGCTCAGGCCTCTTATCCAAAAAGTGCAACTTTATGCGGTTGCTGTCTACTTTTGACCTGCTTGAAAGGTCCCACCCTTTGAGCCCGCTCAGACTCCTTATCTTTTTAAAAGCGCAACTTTATGGGATTGCTGTCCACTTTTGAGGTGCTTGAAAGGTCCCAGCCTTTGAGTTTGAGCCAGCTCAGACTTCTTATCCAAAAGGCGCAGCTTTATGAAGTTGCTGTCTACTTTTGACCTGCTTGAGCGGCCCCATCCTTTGAGTCAGCTCCAAGTCCCATATCCAAGGCGCGCAGCTTTGTGAAGTCGCTGGCTGCTTTTGACCTGCTTGAAAGGTCTGACCCTTTGAGCCAGCTCAGGCGCCTTATCCAAAAAGCAAGCAGATGCTAACTTGCTCAGCGTGTAGCTGCTGGATGCTTGCCTCTGTTTGCATTTCTTTACTTGCATGCGTGCCCTTATTGTAGCACATACGCAGACGCGGCGGGTTTTCTTTTTTCTTCATGAGGTGACTGGCCTCAGGCTGAGGCGCTTTGCTCTTCGTTTTTTGTCCATGCAGCGCAGTCTTTGGCCTGTGCTGTTGGATCAGGGTTGAGGTACTGCCGAAAGCCTTAGCAGGAGCAGAATCGCGGGAAAGTTGTACTCAAAAACGCGGCATTTTTACGGCGCGAGATGTATACGTCTAGCCCGTACATCTTTCCCATGATTTCCGTACATCTCAAAAAAGTAGAATTTTGGAAGCCTACTATGAATCGCCCCGGTGTGAGTACATCTCGAGAGTACATCTTTCCCGTGATTTACGTACAAGATATATATCTCGAGATATATATCTCAGACGTATACATCTCGCCCGTACATCTTTGCCATGATTTGCGTACATCTAAAGCCGTAAACTCCCTCCTGTTTAGCATTGAAAATAAGTTTTGGTTTATAATATAGATAATTATAGTATATATGATTGCACGCTGGGCCTAAGCATATATATTGTTGCACGGGATAAGTCTACGTTTGTGATCAAGGTGAAAACTAACCGGTTGTTTTACTTAGTGCTTTGAGCGCCGCAGGGCCTAAGCATATATATTATATTCATACGCTCCAGGGCTCAGGGCTGAAGGCCCCCCCTCCCGATCTAAATTTTTGAGGGGGAGGGCCTCCCAGCCCCGGGCCCTCTTTTGGAGGGGCTGCCGGGCGGGAAGGCCTCAAAGCGCCCACCTCTGACCCCTCCCCGCTTCTTGCCTGTACCCTAGAGCGCCAAGGCAAGGCAGGACCCCGCTGGCTTGTTGCGTGTACCCTACAGACCTGGCAAAGGTGGCAAAGGCTGGGCCTTCTTGTCGTGTTGCAGGCACCCGACAGAGCTGGCAGAGGAGGCAAGGCGGGACCCACCCCCTTGGCGTGCTGCATGTACCCGACAGACCTGGCAAAGGTGGCAAGGCTGGACCCCTCTGGCGTGTTGCATGTGCCCAACCCTACAGACCTGCCAAAGGTGGCAAGGCTGGACCCCTCTGGCGCCGTCCACCCCAGATCCATCCACAGGGGGGGTACATATATAATTGTACCTGATACTCGCTCCATAATGTCAGCTTCATTCCAACCCAATTTTCGAAGGCAATCTACTAAAACTTGCGTGCTGACAATGTCTCCGATGGCCGCCTTATTGATTTCCTTCACGCATTCTTTCTTGATTCTTTTCGCATTTATCGTCAAGCGAATCTGATTTTGTACAGAAGTACCATGCAGAGTAGTAAAGCTACATGTCTGAGGACACGAGAAAGTAGGAGAGCAAAATGTTGATGCTGAAAAGTGGTTCCCCGCAGTAGTTTTGCCTTGATAATAAACAAGCGCTGGCAAGTACTAGATCAAGATCAACGAGGGCTTCCTATACCCTTCGCGCAGCACTCCAAGCATGTTGTTGATCATCCTCCACGATGTAGAGGGTACAACGCTCCACATTACATAGGTCGGAGCCTTCTTCAGCCAGGGTGCTAAAAATTGTTGCTAATGCTTTCTGACGTTTGAGGCGCTCCTTCTTATCCAAGTCCATGAACAAAAGACTCGTCATCCCTATCAGGCAGCCCTAGGCGTTATTGGTTTCAACGATCTTGTTGTACTAGAACTATGTCAGGACCGACGAGTGCATGATGTACAAAGTATTTCTATCACTGTGAAGAGTTAGTGTCTCCTCTGCGTCTGGTTCTACTAGATCTGGCCGTGATTCTAGGTCTAGGAGCACTGCAACAAGAACAAGATGAAATAATAGATACCTACTAAAGATAGAAAACTATGATTGCTAGTACATTAAAGTACCGAAAAAACTCCTATCGCCATGGCAACAGTGCGGACAAAGCGAACACTATCAAGCGCAATCTGGTCTGGAGTGAGGTCAGCTTTCGGGAGCCCTAGACTGTTGAAAAAAGCATCCACAAAGCCACCGAAACACACGCCAGAAGTGTCAGAACAGATCTAAGGAGTGTCGGTTTTGAACAAAGCTTCCAAGTACAAAAAGGAGAGGTAGGGTCAGACTCAGGCCCTCTTGGTATTGACCACTCGAGGTGTGAAAGCTACATTTACTCCCGACTATTCGTGTGAAGATTATGACTCTATTTACTTCAGCCCATGCATATTGGAGTAGTTATTTCTCCACCAGTCACGACGTCTGGATCTGGAAGATGCCAGAAGATGAAGAGGGAGGAGAACATATAATAAATAGTCTCTGTGTATTACCTGGCCCATAGCTGCCGCTGTGATGGTCGAAAAGCCGAATACAGCACCGATGCTGCAGTCTATGATATCGCCGGCTTGAATCATGATGAAGTTATCCATCATACCAAAGCCTACCATGGGTACTGCGCAATGCGCTGCGTAGATGTGTAACTGGTTCCATGTCGGAGCCGCGACCTTCCGGGGTATCAATAAATTTATTTCGCTATTTTTCCGCAGTTCTGTTGAGATATCTTCAGCCGTCGATTCTAAACTAGCAGACGCAGCAGATCCTGATCTCGCTTTGATAGAGCCGTCACTGCTCGCCTCTGGCGCTCTTCTAATCGGCGAGAGCGATGTATGCAGGTGGCGTTGAAACATATCTATGTTGCTAGCGGGACTACAGCTGCTACGAGTGCCAGAATGGTTGCAGCCTGCTAGAAGATGCAGTGTGCTGGAGGAGTATCTCGTTGCTAAACTAGAAGTTGTCCTCTTCATCATGCTTCTTCTGCTGTAAGAAGCTGCTCGTGTCCATTCACTCGGATAAACGCCGCTAGCAGTTAACCCTTGAGCTACTGATGAGGAAGCAACAGCCGGACACAAGCTGGACATGCTTCTCGGGTCTATTTGACGCTCCATTTCAAACCGTGCACTTCGATAAGGTGCAGTAGAAGATGAACTGCCGCCCACTGTGTAATTTTGTGGGAGTGTTGGCGGTTGCTCGGTGCCCGTTAGATGTGGCGCTGATGGAGGAGGCGCAGAAGACGAACACGAAGACGTACTATCGAAGAACAAGTCGACTCCTGCTGGGGTAGAGCTCGCTCCAACATGTCCAGCATCGGTCTCCGGTTCTGCTCTATTTATTCCATGACCTTGCTTCGCCACTGTCACAAAAACAGTCCTGTTTCTAATGGCTCCCTCGTCGAGCTCAGTGTTTCTTGCACGGTACCGCTGCGCAAAAAATACTGGTTCTCCACCAGGACCAGCAAATCTGTGACTTTGATTCCCTCTTCGATAACGGTCTAACAACGACAGCAGAGGCGCCTTCTTCTGAAACATGCGAACTGCTTGCTTGCTGAAAGTTCCTCCTGTTGCTCCACCAGAAGTGCAGCTAGTTGGCAAAGATATTGAAAATGACGAGCTTGTTGTTGAACAAGAAGTACTAGTCGAGGACTTTGTTGCGCCTCTGGTTATAGAGCCGCCAGCTCCTCCAGATGTTGAAAACGAAGATGTTAACGATGTTGTAGAGGTGTTGTACCCACGCCTTTGCATTTGAGATCGGACACAGCGACACAAAGGAAGGGGAGTACGTGGCAGCATCCTGCGCCCAATCATTTTCGCCAGTCAGAACGGACAAGGAGGCTTCACAGTAGTAAGCGTCGCGTGGTCTTCTCGTCGGGAAACACTCGACGTCCTTGAACGTGTCGTCCTCGACGTTGCTTTGAAAAAATGGAAATGTTGTTGTTGTTGATTGAAATCTTGATCATCCCCCTAGGACTGCTTCTCATATCCATGTGTACCTACTGAGTATTTTCCAGTGCTTCGTAGTTTTGTCCATGCGCCGTCCGTCGTCGTCGATGCATTTAATTTCCACTGTGCAGATGAAACTTCACTTGCTGCACAGTGCTGCCAACAGGTATTTGCTCGTTGTCGGTATGAGCTCGTTCTCAATTGCGTTCCATGTACATAGTTTTACCGTCGCATTATCAACACTTTTCGGGTCCTTGTCGTTGTCGTTCACTCGACCCTCTTTGCTTCAAAACAACTAATTTCAAATGAATTAAAGCGAGATAAGTAAGACACACAATTTATCTTTTTGTGGCACATGTCCATGACCAATTTATCGAGGACACCTTTTATTTCATATGCAAGCTATCAAAAGTCATTTTTTGTGTACTTAATTCAACCTACGCCTATGCTCGCTCCCATCCTTTGTTTCTTCCCTCTTTGAAAAAGAAAAAATCCATATCAATTGGTCAAGTTTAATAACTCAAGCCAGCTCATCTCCCAGCAAAGTAGACACACTCCGTTTCATAGTTGTTTCTTCTGTTGTCACTCGTCTCACGCTGTCACGCTCACAAAAATTGCATTGCTCATTAATGGGGTTCTTCAAGTGGACGGCATGGCAGCTCGCAGTGGCAGTCTTTTCTTGTCTGCATAAGCCCACCGATGCAATAATCGTGAAACAGTTACAACCAACATAATGGCTGCAGTGAGGTAACGCTTTATTGATGTAGAAACGTCTCAACTTAGCACTATTTGTTATCCACCTTACAGTTCGTTGGTTGTAGTTACCGTCTGTCATCGTTCTCGATGGATATGCCCATAGTGCAAATCAAATGAACCGAAGAGCAAGCTGGATGCTCTCCTGTCATTTCATTATCGGATTTATGACATCGAAAAAAATGACTGCTCTGAACTAAATAATTGCAACTACTATACGTGAACTGACTTCCAAGTCACCTTCATTGCCGTATTCTTATTCATTGATTGGGAGAAAGGTTGAGAAACTACAACGATAGTCTATATTGACGGAGAGAAAAATTAGCTCTGATACGTGTGCCATCTCTTGCAGGTTGGTTCATTTTGTTATGTTCATTACATTAAGCCGAAAATCGACCACAACAAAGATGCAGGCACCTCAAGTTCTTTCTATGCAATGGAGTCTAACAAAGGTATAATCTCAGTTCAGAATTACATCAACACTTTTCAGGAAAATCTCGTATGCAAGAACATAATATGCATATTTTTATTCTATTGTTATTTCTGCTCAATGTTTACCCATAGGGCGGTCGCTTAACTTGTACTCGTCTTTTGAACAAAGCGGTATAGGGGACGTGCTTCTGTGGAAATATTCTTGGGGCCAACGAAGGTAGTGGGTCTTGTTCGAGATGAGCATAGCATTGCGGATTCGATGCCTTTAAAAAGCTGTCCCCCAATGGACGGTGCTCTTGTTCCTGCACACCTTCCTTCTCATGATTCCGTTGCTCTTTTATCGTCGCCATCATTAGACGACGAGGTTTAGTCAGTAGTAAGCCACCTACATGATATGAGTTCCATATTCATTCTCGTCATCCTCATCCCTAACCCATACTCAGCCATTCGTTCCTAGAATACAACACAACTTGAATTTCAGCTTCTAGTCAGCATTCGAGAATCATCAAGTACTACAAAACCAGGATCAGGAAGAAATCCTTTACCTGGAATGGAAATGAAGAACGTGAAGACGCAGTACCCATATTAGCCACGACCTTAACATTATCTGATTCGGTCTGCGCACGTTTGGAGGCTGCAAATCTACGTCACTGTAGGATGAACGAGTGTCGAAGAAGAAACGCATATTCCTGCGATAGTCTGTTTCGCGATTGACGTCTCCCGGTTTTGTCTTCAATATCACTCGCGCTGCTTCCCTCGCACTCAGTGCAGGCGGAGTAGGTTGTGTCTGTGGTTCATGATCCACAGCTTCTTGCTGTTCCTGTTGTGCTGATGATCCCGCCTGTTCTTCCTGTGCTTTCTGCAGGTACTCGCGCAATGTGAAATTCTTATCGAGCGTTCGCAAACCATCCTGTGGAGGCCTCTCTATGGCGATGTTTCGCATCACCCTGTTCGAATAATACCGATACTTATCGAACAACGGTGGCTCTTCGGCACTGTAACGGATCGGACCTAGTTGTGGAACAAAAAGCGTAATACATGATGAACGTTGAGGACTGTGATCGATGTGTTATTTCATCACGTCATCCATTTTTACTCGAAGCAATGGTAACTACTTACGACAAAGCTAAAAAAGTGAATATGTACTTCAAGTTCAATCAACTTCTACTTACTATGTACTATTCATGATCTTCGACGTCATAGAAACGCGGAAAATTATTTACTTCGATACTCCAACGAACAATCTCACATAAGAAAGAGAAACATGAAGGACGACAACTACCATTCGATTTGTAACTTGCCGTGTCGCTAAAACCGACCTCCTCCCGCCATATGTCTTCTTCCGTCTTTGTACCCCACCTTGGCGGCGCTTGTGGGGGACCTCTTCGCATTCTGGTTTGTTCTCGCTCTTCTGCGATCCTTTCGCGCTCCGCAGCGATGTGCTCGTGCATTTCGTCATCTCGCCATCTCCGCCGCAGCCGTATAGCTCGCAGCTCCCTCTGCCTGCCCTGTTTGGGGACGCGCACTGCCTGCCAATAAGTCGCATTCGCTTGCTTGCGAAAGCTCGTCTCCATTTGAGATGACCCCGCATCGCTTTCGCCGGCATTGTGATGCGCAATATTAGGGTCAGACATCGAAGAAAAACTTAAAGTTAAACAAGATCAGAACGACGAGGGCTCAAACAATAACAAGGATGAATTAATCTGAACTGCCACACCTTTTTCCTGGACCAGTGGTGATTGTCTACTACTTACTAGATTTTCAGTGTTCATCAAACATCTAGTACTAGTAGTAGCAGTTGGACTCGTGTGGAAGTGGATAAACATCAACGAGGAGACTAGTAAAGAGTGTAGTACGAGGAACCAGCATGCTTAAATGTGCCTCTCTGCTGCGTCGCACCTGCAAAAGGCGAAAAGGGATATCTCAGCGGATCAAATGGGGGCTCTCCTTCTCTTGGTGCGGGTTCCATGTCGAGGAACAAACCAGGCAAATGACGTGTCACGTTCCGCTCCGTCTCCACCATTTGTTGTTGCAGGTGGTGCGCTGCATTTGCATCTCCTTGACCAAGTGCCACTTCTTGTTCATCTATGTTGGTCCCACTCCTGGCTCTAGCTTTGTTCGTCGGAGAGGACCTGATCGGAGGACCCATCGTTTCATCAAGTTGTCTACTGATTTCTTGTGGCAGCCGCGTGTCGTAGGAATATAGGTCGGTATCGTAACCGTTCCGAAGATCAGCCGTGCCAACCTGAAGCCGCCCCTGCATTGCCCGCGACTGTCTTCTAAGCTGGTGCTGTCCAGCCGCGAGCTGTGAAGCGGTATCGATGTCATCTTCTTCTGATAACGTGTGTTGCTCTTCACTAAATCTCACCATCGGTTCTCCATTTTCTTTTTCACCGGCTTGAAGATTCAACCTGTCGCGAAGATTTTTCGGCAACACGACAGAGGACGTTGACCCAGAACAGGCAGACGAGGCACTTTGTGGTCGCGCGGCGGCACCACGGCGCGCCCCTCCTGACGAGCCAATGCGATAAGAGCACGTTGGCCCTGCGCTTTGGGGTCGTGCTGCTCGGAGAGGCACGTACAAGGTACCATTTGCGCTGCGACGATAGCCCATTATCTCGTCTTTGCTGTCGTCATACACTGCACGGAGAACAGCGCCGCAAATGAAGTCATCTGCCGCCCTCGATGGAGCTTCATTGTTCGCAACTGCCGATGGACTACTGAGTTCGCCTTTTCCCGTCTGCAAAGGAGAGGAACTTTCAGCTCCATAGAAGAGACACGGAGTTCCCTCAACATGAGCATTTGCACCAGAAGAAACCGGACGCTTTTTATATTTATTGATGGTCGCTCCACGCGAAGATGGTCCACTACTTTCTTGTGCTTGCACAAGAACATCTGCAGGAGCCTCTCCGCTTCTATAATCACTGCCTTCAACGCTCGTCTTCCCGGCGATTCTCGGATGTGCTGATTTGGGTCGTGGGCGTTGTGTCTGCGGCTTATCAAAGTCGGCCTCTGGCTCTCCGCTGCTCGACAATGGCGCAGCTGCATAATTGGACCCTTCCTCACGTGATACCGCTGCACCGGAACCAGCACCAGAAGGTAGAGTCTCCTCAGAGCGACGACGAGCCCCCCTTTTTGATCCAGCAGTTGCACTACCATCCCTACTTCTAGTACGCGCAGCCACTCGCACCGATGCAGCACATGCGGAGTGAGGCCGCACCTGACGAGTGTAGTCACATTGGCATACGAATCTACTTCAACTACATCCTTGCTGTCGTACTCTGTCGCTTACATCTATATGTATAGAGCAGTTTATAACCTATGTGAAGATCGCTGGGCTGGGCAAGCTGGCCGCGCTGGGTCGCTGGGCGACCCGATTGCGCCAGCTGTGCCGAATTCTGCGCCAAGCGTCGACGCAGCGTGACGACAGGGATCTCAAAATGCGGGCCGCCCTTCCGGCGCCCCCTTGAGAATCCCCCCGGCGGTGCTAGTCTAGCGTAGGCCAACGACGCTGACGAATTACGCAACCGCCAGGGCCGTTGCGGACAGGGGCGGCGCAGCATTGCACCGAGCAGCGCAGTGCAGCACAACGTAGCACAGGCCTGCACAGAGCAGGCGCAGGCCGCCACTGCGCAAAGTGGCGCAGCACTGCGCCAGGGCTGCCCGGAACGGGTTCGGCGTGCCGAATGCGTGGCCCTCAAGTCCGTTCAGCGTCATCCAAGCGCCCGCCCAGCGTGCCCACCGTTGCCGCCCAGCGTCTATAAACTATTCTGCTATAATAATATGATTGTCAAAACATCGCGTCTTCTAAAATACCTGCAGTATTCAAAGAAATCCATATGATACAATTATAATTTCTAAACAAGCGCTTTCCCCTTCGTACTGAGGGAGTCAATCAACTCACTACAACTTGTCCCGCTTTCTTGTTCTTGCCTTTCCGCATGGATTCCTTTTGCACGGACACTTCTTGCGGGAGGTTGACACTGTGGCCACGAATCTGCAATAGATCGAATTCGTCCGCTGGTGTAGTGGCGGCGGCGGGTGAAGCTATTGCAGATGTAGACGCAGACGCAGGCGCTTTCACTCTGTTCTTCAACGGTACTTTTGCACTAGCATATGACGATGCGCCAGCATATTGTGTCGTCACGCCACGTCGTTGCGTGGCATCGAAAGTGCGCACATCATTGTAACCACGCGAAGAACGAGGCACTCCCATTGTTATTGTGGTGGAAAGATATCAAGAACAACTTATGATCTGATCGATGCAGATTTCCAACCTCATACACAAGCACAAACAGCACACAAGAATAACACAAGTACCGTGAAGAATTTGCTCTATTTTTCTCTTCGTTCAGGTTTCCTGTCCAGCAATTGATATTATCATGGAAGGAACTACTCCTACATCATGTAGCGGATCAAGATACTAGAGACTTCTTCAACTACGTGTATGCCCTACTACATGGTTTTCCTCTTCATGAAAGCTCATTTACTACTTCTAGGCCGTACTTCTAGGGATAAAAAATGATCGGAAAACTGCTATGTACTACAGGACCGGGCTCCTTTAGTTGGGGAAGGTCCTTCACCATGAACGAAACGGGTATTGCATCAAGCGCTCATCGTACGGTTCGGCTACTCGGTTCCTCCACCAACACCGACTGTCACTTCATCATGTCCACGACAGAGGCGAGTTTGCTTTACACCGCATACAGAAGATCTCTTCAGACTTTTCAACGAGGAGAGCTACGACCTAAAATCTACCAGTAGTCTCCATTCATATCTCTCGATATCAAGAACCCTGACGCTCGCTATGACGATGAAGATAAGGTGATGTTGATTGTATCTACTACTTAAATCAGATGTCGCGTTGTTGTTCAGATGGAATCCTACTACGAGGAGCAACGTCTCGAGTGTCGAAAGACGACCTTCCGATTGTATGGTCAAACTTTGGCCTGTCCTATACGAGTCGACGAGCAGTGGACTCGTCTTTTATACGAGCTGCTATTCCTTGAAATGCTCTACTTCCATCTTTCGTTGCACAAAATCAAAACTCTCATACTTTGGAGTCTCATTAAAGGAGTGCCCGCAACATATGATCAGCTCTAGACCGTGGAAAAAACTACAACACCAAATCTAAATTCTTAACGAGCACCAACACCATAACGACTGCGAAACAACAGTCATAGTTCTTTCATTCATCAAATTCTTACTTGTTTTCGCTTACAACATTTGACCTTTTTTCATAGGTCCAAGGTATGGAAAACGAATCTCTACGTTATAAGTCCCCGCATCAAGAAAAGCAGAAAACGAGGAGAAGCCACTTCAAGACTAGAAAGTTGATCTTCATGCGAATACCATGTCTAAAATTCAATTGTAGTTAGCCCTATTCGTGGCTAGTGGTCATCTATATAATAATAATAAAGCAAACATCAAAATCATGATATCAGCAAAGCCTACAACATTTACACATACATAGAGAAAATCCTAAACTTCATTTAAGTAGATACAGGACAGGACTTCAGGACAGGACTACAACACAGGCCTTCAGGACAGGACTTCAGGACAGGAATTCAGGACAGGGCTTCTGGGCAGGGCTTCTGGGCAGGACTTCTGGACAGGACTTCAGGACAGGACTTCAGGACAGGACTTCAGGACAGGACTTCAGGGCAGGAATTCAGGACAGGGGTTCAGGACAGGACTTCAGGGCAGGACTTCAGAACAGGACTTCAGGACAAGACTTCAGGACAGGACTTCAGGACAGGACTGCAGGACAGGACTTCAGGACAGGACTTCAGGACAGGACTTCAGGACAGGACTTCAGGACAGGACTTCAGGACAGGACTTCAGGACAGGACTTCGGGCCAGAACTTCAGGACAAGACTACAGGACAGGACTTCGGGCCAGAACTTCAGGACAAGACTACAGGACAGGACTACAGGTACAGAAGGGACCAAGACTACACAACAAGGCAGGACTATTTTCATGCTTCAAGGACTGCTTTTTAAAAAGCTGGAGTGGTAAAGCACATACTTTTTTGGCGACGTCTACAGAGGTAGTAGAAACCTCGAGCGAGGCCCTAGGAGTCTAGTTGTCACTACTAGAATTACTAGGTTGAGGGCCGAAGAAAAATACCAGGAAAAAGCGAGCACCCACGAAGCTTGTGCCTGCAATTCATTCACCCATTCAGCACGGCCGACACTGCCGTGTTTGCTTTTGGGGCCTGGGTCTACAGTTTCCCGCTATAGTTCCACTCAATTACCCCGCGGGAGGCCTGAAGCACAACGGCCAGGCGCTACGACTACGCAATCGATTAAGCACGACGGCAATCGCTGTAGAAAAGCTAGAGCCTAAGCCCCACCACGGGCGGATTGGTCGACTGCTGATAAGTAGAACAATGATGGATCATACCTTATGTACCCCGAGCGCAAAGAACACAGGAAAGGCTTCGCTAGAGCTTTGGCGTGGCCATTTACTAGTTAGGATCTGAAGCTGCAAGCTGTGGACACTCGGCACAAAGGGCGGCGCCACTACTGAGATCGAACTTTTTTAAGGTGAGTCGGCCCACGTGGAATCGCCTTGGTATCTTCAGATACATTGTCGGATTGGTGAGGCTGCACTAAACACGGGCCCTCTTGCTCCTTCTGATTTCTTGAGGCTTCTTTGGTTCGTTTGTGCTTCATCGCCTTATACATAGACGTGGATAGCCGCGAGCAACCTTACGGCACTCACACAGCGCAACCAAAAGCTTTGCCCCTTCGTCACCCGCGGGATTAGGTAAAGGGGGAAGCCGCCCGGCAGAGGTACACCCTGACAAGGATGCTGCATTTATATATTCGTAAAGTGATGCACCCACGTTTCATGGCGGCTGTCAATCAACAATCGTGGAACTATCCTCGACTTTCTGTTGCAATGACTAAGAAGTTGAGCAACAAAAGAATACGTCGAAGTTCCAATGCACTCATGCAGACAGAAATGAAAAACTCCACTGGATACAAGAACTGGACAGATTCCTATTGTACAACTCTGTTAGAGTTCAGGCTCTCGGAAATCATGCCCTCCCTCTGAGACGTGGACAGTTACAATTCATACGATGTATCTCAACCGAAGAAAGTATTATCAATTGCCTTGATTCCTCCATTTTGAAGTTGCTACCGACTCGTCTGGACAAACATAATACTTCTGTAGCAAAGGAGTTCCCGATTAATCAGTAAGCCTTTACCAGGACGAGGAGCTTCTTCTCTCAAGATTGGTTATCCACATCACCTTTTCTGGTTTTATTACATCATGTCGTTTGGGATTACTCAAGGCGACGTCGTTCTACTGGTAATTTCGAATTCACTTCTAAATCTTGTAGTTCTTCACCTGCTTAGGTTTCTTCACTTCTCTGTCGATCCTCAATTCTGCTTGTTTCTACAACAGAACTTTCATCATACTATCTTATTACCAAACTACTTAGTGTTAGTTTTGATGAATCAACAACATGCTCCTGATAATTATAATAAATAAGTATCTATAATTAGCTTTTATTCGTATGCAGATGCACTGGAACAAAACATAAAGCAGCCAATCGATCTTCAAGTATCTTCTATTCTGTGCATCCCTAATAGGCCTATAGCACCTGCACGCAGGATGAAGTACCTTTATTCAACTACAATTTGGTTCATCACCAAAATAAAAAAGCACTTTCATTCTGTGGCGTAGTTGTAGTTAGGCTCAATAGACGACCTACCTCACTAAAAGGAGTCTAAGAAACCGGCTTCGTGATCGTGTTGCTTTGATGAAGTCGGGATATCTTAATTAGCGTACAACCTTGCTGCTCATCTATTTCAGTACTGGACATTCAATCAACGAATTATGTCATCCTACATACAACTTTCTACCTCGCTTTGGAATTTTTGTTTCTTTCGCTCTTCTCGCGCTGCATCTGTTGTTTTTTGTTCCCTACTTGTCTACAAGTCCACCCGCATCTATGTGCGCATCTTCGTCATTTGCTTCCACGCGGTTTTGCAAGTCAGATACCGCATCTGCGCTTCCCGCGCTTGCTGCGCCAGTGTCTTTAGTTTAGTTTGCCGACTGCGTGCTTGCAGCGTCTGCTGCTGGTCCCGCAGTTGTCGCGCCTCCATCATGGCCATGTGCACAGACTCGTTTTGCAAGGCCTTTTTCATGTTCTCATGGAGCTTGATCAGTGCTTGCCTCCCGACACGGTCTACACTCCCTGTAAGAACGTCGTAGTCTTCTAGCGTCGTGTGCAGCGCCGAGCAAATGGACTGTAAATTTCCGGGGCGGTGTAGCTCCTGCGTCTCGTCGAATTCTTCCATCAAAGTCTTAGTGAGCCGCAAACGCTCCACCACACTCTTGGCGTAAAGGCTTTCTCGCTCGGTTTGGCCAAACACGTCACGAGCCTGGAGGGGGTGAGTCAATTAATATAACAAGTTGTAGTTGCGATGGGCGCAATCACGACCTCTCGCCAGATAGAAGAAGTAGAAGCTGTCATTCTCAAATACTAGACAAGAAGTCGGCGCGACGTAGACAAAGACAGGCTCAAGCGCATAACTGAAAACTAACTGATTGTTTACAGACTTACAATCAAATTACTTATATAATGAGCAGTTGTATGTTAACGCGCGGGTTGGTTAAAAAGAGTGCCACGACGAACCTTCACCCAAGAGAATCACCAGGCGCTTGCGGCTAGTTAGTAGGGCTAATAGAAATAGAAGAAATGCAGGTAGAAGTCAAAGTCTCATCAAGAAGTACAAGTTTACAAGCAAAGCGTAATTGAACAATCAGATTAGCTTCATACTGGTAATGCTTCTTACCTGCAGAAGCAGTTTAGCAACGCGGTCTCGGTCCTCCAGAATCTTGTTCGCGACTACGTTCTTGTGTGCATCTTCGGGGCTATACCGTCTCTCGCGCAGGTCCTCGTCTAATTGCCGCAAATTTGCTGTTCTGTCCGCTAAGTGCGCGATTTCCTCCGTGAGGCCCTTTCCGTGAAAGCCCAAGAGCGAGGCGGGCGTTCCATCTGGTGGATCCGATGACCATGCAGCGGGAGGACACGTCGACGGAGCGTCTTTTGATGATAATATTTTCTTCATATCTAGCTTAGTCATTTGCGTCTGGATCTGTTTTGTGGCGGAACTCGCGAATTGTTCGCCTGAAGTGCCAGTATTGGTTGTTGTACCTTGCTCCTGTTGCTCGCCCGACGCTCTCAGCTCCGCGAGTTGTGCCCGCAATGCTTCAAATTGCTGGATCTGCTGCACATAAAGTTGCGCCTCGTATATTTGTTGGCTAAGCAGTGCCGAAGTCGTCGCCATCGTTGGAGCAGGGACCGCGGAAGTCGCATTCATCAACGTTCTTGACTCTGGTGGTTGGTGGCTCGTCCCAGCAGCGGTTGATGTCGTACCGCTTTCATCAAAAAAGCTGAAATGGTTGGCGGTTCCGCTGCTCTGTTCGAGTACCCTCATCAGCGCCGTGTTCGCGACTTCCTTGCGCTTTCTCTCGTCCGTGGTCTCGGAGAGACCTAATGCGTGGACGATCTCGTTGTAATTCACGTCAACAGTGCCTTGTTTGTTCAGGAATGTGCCTAACATCGCACTGCCCATGTAGCCACCCTTCATTGCCGCAGCCCGAAGAGACAGCGGCATCGTACCAGCGATGTTTTCTGGTGCAGATGACGAGTCCATGTTCTTCAGGTTTGATGCTGATGTTGGCCCCAAGGTTTGATTTGTTACGCTCCCGAGCGTCGCGGCTGTAGTATCAGCACCAGGCGTCATTCCAGGTGAGAATGTGTTGCTTGATGATTCCCCCTTGGGAATGGTGCCTACCGCGGTTGACATTTGACCCACTACTGCAGAGCCACTGTTGCGTTTTGGCCGGCCAAGAACGCTCGAGACATGCGTTACCGCTGAGGCTGATGCTCGTTTCGATGCAGGGGCGTTATTTCTCGGTTCAACTGGAGCGGCAGCTGAGGTCGTCGACGTCGCACCTTCTGGTAGATGTTCAATGCCGATATGACTGTCGCTACTCGGAACGGAAGGCGGCGCTTCGTTTGGAATAGCACTAGAAGGCCTCAGGTTCAAGTTGCTCGGCCGCGATGCGACATCATAATTTTCTGATATATTATCCGGATCTTCGGCGCGGTGCTGCGCTTCAAAGAAGTTGCTCTTCATCTCTTCGATGACTTTCTTTGCGATGCGCGCTGCAAGTTCGAACGCAAGACAGGCTCGTGGTGCTTTCTCGTGGTTGCCAAGACCGAGGGAAGCACGTGGATTTAAGGAGAACCACAGAACGTCGGATGAAGACAATGACAATCTTTCTTGTCAAAACTAACAGTCGCACAGTAGTTCAAGAAGAAGAACTAACATCCACACATGAAACCAGGTATATATTTCTATGTGGAGTAAAATGAATGAATGAATGAATCATGTGTCTAGAATACTTAGATATACATATTCTACCTTGCGATATTTGAAGATGTGGCCCTGAATATCGTGATTCCACCTAAGGCACTCTTAAGCATTCATCTGTGGATAGAAGAATCAGAAAGTAGAAAAGATTATGAAGAGCAGGGGCGGGAGATGAGGGGTTAGAGATAGAAATTACGAGTGAATGCTGACTACACCTATTCTCTAGATGGGCAAAGCGATTCGTGTCGGACGAACCTGGAGCGTTGAGAAGGTGTTGGGCAGCAGAAAATCAATCGGTTGTATGCAATTGAGTTTCATCCGCTGCAGCAGTTCGATTTGAAGACTCATCTACTCACCAAGAGTCAACAGCTCAAGAACATCAATCGCCTCATGACAGATTCCCAACTACCCTCTCGGTCTTGACGTGATAATGGATTCATCTATTAAGAAGGTGAAACAGAACTCTCATGATCATCACATATTAATTCGCGAATTGGAGGAGAAGATTTGGCTGCCTCTCAAAAATACAGACTTCTCTTTAGGGCCATATTTGAATTATTCTCACATTCACAGAAACTTTAGAATGTTGTTACATCTAATGGAGCAGCCAGGCTGAGATGGGTACAGGCAGAAACACCTCTCTCTTTCATATCTGATATGATGTTGCAAGAAGTAGACCACCGCTCATTATTTTTGTTCTTTGGCCTGATGAAGTAAAAGGTGGACTAGCAAGAGATGAAATCCAAACCGATACAAATTGCCACCGTCGTGGTCGTCGATACCATGCAGGCCTCATTTTTCAGGTTTGCGCTTCTTGATGTTCAAATTTGTTCCTTCCGCTTGGGTTTACGTGTTTCTGAAGATTGATCATAAATTTATTACGATGCGTTGTTTTCACGACATACAGGGTCGTAGCAGTCGATGTTGCTAGCCCATCTTGTTTCAAGGCTGCAGTAGCCACACATACCTCGTGTAGTACTGAAGATGCAGTTCGCAAAGTAGGTACAATAACGAAATATGATCACTTTATTCATCCTCTAGAACATCATCTTCTCGCTCGATTTATTATCTAAGCTGAAGATTTAGATTACTCTAATGTACCCAAATCATTAACAATCTCCTGACGGAGTACATGTACAGTTTCACCATGACCATAGCGAATGTGTATTTATTATTAAGAACAAACGGCAAATTCTCCTGAGAAAAGAACTCGTGTTGTTCTATGTTGTATATGGAGGCATAATATTCTCAACAAATCACACCGTCAGTCATCATTAGTTATACATCTACGTGAATCTGGGCAATACCTCATTGGGGGAAACTATTTACAAGGGGGACCCTCAAAGTCAGAAACGGGAAAGCAAGTATCATCGAGAAGATCAGTCCAAGAAACGAGGAGGACCAACCGGGCCGAAGAAGATAATGAATAATGAAATTATAGGTAACATACTCAGAAGTGTATGCTAACACATTTTGTAATAAAAGGAAGAATTCCTGGATTTTACATACGACACTGTCTAAACACGCGGAATGACTTTCGAAAGCGTCTCCGTTACTTTCTTCAATCTACCCAGATATCTATCAAACACAGAACCAGAACAGTCAGAAGTTCTTATCTTCAATGGGGTCAACCACTACAAGAAGGTCAGCAAGATGATCGGCTAATGTGCTGAAGACGATGCAGCACCTGGAGGACTTTTTACACTACTAGACGTGCTAGAACTAAGTAGACGATAATGTGTTGCTAAGCACCTCCGAGTCCCCGTCGCACCATCCGGTTTTCCGCACAGCATTCAACTCCTGATTGTTCATCTTGCTCACAACACGGACTCGTCAACTACTCAACAACGTCCATAACGTCAAAAGTAAGTTGGTTTGTAAATTCTCCTTGAAAACGAAGCTTGCCTATGATGGTGTCCACCTCCTACGATGCAAGTGGTGCCACCGCCGAGCCTCTATCTGCACGAGCCTTCTCCGATCCTTTGCGTTGCCGAACGGCCGCAAGTAGCACTTTATTCGCTTTGCAAAGAACTTGGGCTGTCGTTAATTAGACAAGTAGAAGTACAAGTGGTATTTTGTGATTTTTACCTACAATTGACCATAATGCATCCGGCAGACTCGGAGTTTCTATCGATTTCATCAGGTGCTAAAAAACTACACTTTCCAAAAGTGGTCTTTCGTCTTCATTGGCCAAGTGAGGTTAGGTTAGGTTTGGTTGAGGATCCTGCGCATTGAGCCCCCCGGACTCCTAGCTCAACTCCGAGGATGATGGTAAAAATGAGTCACACTCTAGCAAGATTAAAATTCTTCAAGAAAATAGGTAGGAGTTACCAATTTTGTCGCCATTGAGTGCGCGCTCAATAATTTCCTCGGCTTCAGGTCCTAGTTCTACTTCGTGATCGCAAACTTTTTTCCCGGAGTCCTTGAATGCTAAGTCCGAACTGTCTGATGATCCTCTGGTCGTGTCTGCAGTGCTGTAGGTAGAGCAACTACCAGCTGTATGAAAGCGGGCGGATAGACGGACCGTGTATTAATGACTAATTCGTTCTGATTTCTCAAAAATATACCCAATCATGCAGCTCTTTTTGGCATCTTTCATAATTTTTTACGTAACGAGTAGATTTAGAATGCTACATCTTCCCAGCAAAATCTTAAATAGAAGTGTACTAAGAACGAAGGGTAATATCAAGGACCACTTATTCCACCAGATTCAATCATCGATCTGTGGAACTGGATGAGCTACATCAACTTGATGTACGAGATGGAGATTACATTTCAGGGGCCTTAACGATTTTTCAAACTCATCTCGTCCTGTGGTCCGTCCTGCGATGTAATTCGTGGTGCTCGTGATGTTACAGCACTCTTATCTCTATTTCCACTGGCACCAGCAGTTACGGTCGTCGTGGTCGTGGTTCTTGAGGTTGAGCCGTTAAGCATGCAACTGGATGATTTATCTACTAAGCCTTGTGATTTGCGAAACTCGGTAGCAATGCTGTCAAACGTCTCTTGCAGCGACATCCCACGTGTCGCCGCAATTTTTTTCCGCTGCCTCTGAGACAGTTTTCCATTTATTATCGAACCGGAAGCGGAGTAAAGACTGCTATCCTCCCTTTTAGAAGGAACAACCTTCCACGTTGGATTCCGGAGGGACCTCCACAGAGATGTAGTTGTACTTGATTGATCATGATCTAACCATTCTTCGTGAGGGGCCAAGTAACCTCTTGGTTGTTATCCAGTTACGGAATTTATTACGATGTAGTCGAATAATTATCGATTAAGTAACTCGCTGCAGTTGATGAAGCGACTCGTTGGCTTCCAGCTCCAAGAAGATAAGCGAATCTTTACAAAGAACGGTGCGAATAGAAGACGTCGTGGTTAGAATAAATGTGAACGTAAAAATAATTCCCGAAAAACTATGTGTCATAATAGAGTCACGAGTTGTTGAGGCTGCGTTCAGCGTGAGGCGCGAATCCATCAGGGATGAGCAGGCTGTCCGGTCGGGCGTACTGGAGATAGTTGTTTCGGTTTGCGTACTCAACTTGTTGATTCTGCTATAATTAGAGAAGTTCATACTTTTCAGGAGAGAATGATCATGCCCCTTGTTTTTCTATCTACTTTACAATACTAGCAGTATCTTCCACCCCCCTCGAGAAACTTGTTCCATCTTTTTTATTATTATTAACTATAGGTAGTATAAATATCACACTAGGTAGAGAAGCTGAGAGGATTCTTTTCCTTCTGTTCTTACGCTGAAGGAACAGAAGAGATAGTTTGGCCGTAATGCTACCCTTCATTAGCGTTTGTTCGTGAGAGAGGCGCTGAGATACAGTCGAAGTTGTGCTGGTTTGGCGCAGTAGTGTCCTTGGTGTAGGATCAGCACCAATCGACTCGCTGTCTTGAACTGTCTCGCGATTTGACGCTAAGGTTAGAAGCAGTAGACATATCTAGTCGTGCTTTTTCAATTACATCGGTGCTAAGTGTAGAAGTTGTGGTCCTGGCGGACAGTGAAGAATGCGGATAGAGGCACGGCGAGTATGTGATGGACATGGATGGACTAAGTAGATTGAAGTTATTACATGATGATTCTTGAAGTTCGTTGATAAGGAAAAAAAGTTGTACTTATTAGAAACACCCCTGGCTGCTGTCCCCTATCAAGTCATCTGCCATAAAATTGACGGATAGTCCCTTCCTGCTTCTCCAAGTGCATGATCTCCATCCTGGTCTTCTTCTTGCTCTTTTCTTGAGGACGCCTTTGTCTTCTTCTTTTTTTTCTTCTGCTTTTTTTTTATGACACCCTTATCCCCGTTTTCATGTTTGGACTTAGAGCTAGCGCGTTAGCATCCGCGTGGAGAGCATCTTTTGCTTATCTTTCAAGTACTAGAAAAAGAGCCGAAGAAAATTAATCCTCAGGATGCTTTAGCGATAGCGGCCGTAAGTTCAGATGCAGATTGAGCAACTCCCTTTGCCGCCTGTTCCCTCTTCATATTCGCGACTGTTTGTTTATTCTTGCTTCTCCAAGAACTGAAGCTTTCATTAGATGACGTGTTGTTATAAATGAAATAATGGCTACTTCCTGAAGAGCTCCTGATCATCATGGTCACCGTTTCTGTTTACTTACTCCAGGTTCCTACCTTCTTCTCCTACGTGTAGAAGCGAGATCGAGATGAGTGGAGATGGATTTGATGACTTACGACGTTATTTTGAATTTGATTTTCCTGGTGGGCTGCTCATAACATTAGTAGTTGTGCTACTTCCTTCTTTTTGGTGCGGCAATCGACCCGACTTGCCTTCACTCCCACCAGAGTGCTCGCCGGCCCCTGACGCATCTTGATGCAGCATGTTTAGCTCCTCCTCCCGCCGTTTCGCGGCCATACTCATCTTGATCAGATCGATTGCTTCACTCATGTTCACCGACTCTGCTGAACTCCTGCAAAAATATTCATCAACAAAAATTTATCAAATCGTGGAAAAGAAATTCTTCGCAGGAACAGATTTTTATTAAAGAGGATGGCTACGACTTATATATAAATATTACATTGCACTTTCTGTCCTCTCTCAGCAAGTGGTACAACAAACAACGCACTGGGGTTTTCAAGGTTGTATCTTTTTCCCGTCGAAATCGAATACGAATTACCCACATTCTCAGTACAACTAAGTAGAAGTACCTTCCGTCAATAGGCCCAATGGGGATGCCTTCCACTGTGCGATTATGGATGTCATTCACGAGCACAAACGGACTTCCGCAATGAGCACCCGCTGATAAGAGAAAGAATAAGATAGATAAGCAGATGTTTCAACTTCGACCTCGTGGCCATGATATCACATGAAAAGCTAAAGCGAGAAGTGTCAGTAAAACTAAAGGTGTTACAACCTTGACTAAAAGAAGTGGACCGCGGGGGAAAAGGAAAACAAGAACCAAGTCCAAGCCATAATACTGTCCTCTGTCAACTAGAGGTAGCATTGGGCATAGGTGCAGTTTTGCTCTCATGAGCAAGAAGACACGCTAGTCAGTTTACTCATACCTGCTTTCCGCAAAATGGCATTAATAGCGAATCGCGCAGCTTCTGGTGAACAATTTTTAAGGCACTCCTCTGCATTGGCCTCCTCCGTTTGTGCCGGAGACGATACTGTGGTCGCTTTCTTCTTTTTCCTAGAATGAAAAAATCCGGCACAGGATTTGGGTTCATCCTATAAATTTTTGAAGAAGTTGCAAAATTACGGGAGTTATATATGTCCCAGGGCTCAGGACTGAAGGCTCCCCCGCCGAACTAAATTTTTGAGGGGGGGCTGCAGCCCCGGGCCCTGTTTCTCGAGGAAGGCCTCCAAACGCCCACCTTCGCGCCCTCGCGGCTTCTTGCATGGACCCGACAGAAACCAAGCCCCTGAGGCCGTTCAAGCATCGACGGCCGGGGGCGGAAGGCTTCCGAAGGCGGCAAAGGTGGCAAGGCTTGACCCCCTTGCCGTGTTGCGTGTACCCTACAGACCTCCCGCGTCCGGGCTCCTCACTGGGAGAGTTTCTTCCACCGCTCCATCCACAGGAGGGGCTTTCCTCCCTGGTACATATTTATACAAGTACAACAGTTAGAGATATCCCCATTGTTTTTAATTCGTTAGAAATGGAGTGCGTAGAAGTACTCCACCACGACAAATCAGAACATGGTGATTCTCAGTTTGTTCCAACTTTCTTCTGATTTTACTGAAATCCTGATTAGCCTTACACAGTCTTGGTCACAGTCTGATTGCCCGTTTCAGTCTTTGGTGCCTTGCCTGACCTGCTCTCTGCTGTTGACGTCGCACCTCCATTTAAACTAGAAGCTTGTTGCTGGTACTCCCCAGTTTCGTTCGAAGATATTGTGGTCATCACATTCGGTGAAGCGCAAATCACCTCACCGCCTTGCCCACTAGTTTTCGGAGCAGCCCGACCACCAGCGTTTTGCAGCAATGAAGGGCTATGTCTTGCAAGAAAAAAGTCTGTTAGCTCCTGTCAAGTGGGAAAATTTCCGAGCGCTTACTACGAAGAGGCTCGGCCTCGCTTTTCTCTAGGTTATAGTGTTCACAATCACAACATTTCCTCTACAACTTCATCGATCAGTATGAGCAGCGACGAAAATAAGTATAGCTACTACAGCACATAAATTCTTCTGGCTCATGCGATCTGCCATGGCCTGCATAAATGGGCCCATGGTACTCGAAACCGGGGAAGCATTGTTACATCCTCCATCTTCTGCTGCTGCCGCAGTTCCTGCTGCCGCTGTCGCTCGAATACCAGATATCATTTCCCCCAGGAGCTTGTCAGCCTTGGCTAGGTCTTCAGACACTCTTAGACCCGTCCTTTGTTCTGTGGTGGGCGAAGGCATGATGTTCGTCTTCGTGGTCTTCTATGCTACACACCAGCGTCCTCTCCGGTCTACTTCAATAGGAACAGGCTTGACCGGCTTTTACTGTTTGATATTCCTAAAAAAATCTGGTAGTGCTCGTAAGTTGTAGGAACAGGCTTGAGTAAGTTGTTGCTGTTGTTGTTGTTCCTCCGATTGTTCCATCGAGAATGAATGAGCAAAATGCGACGCTGCGCTTGGAAGGCTGCACTTGGAAACTGCGACGCCACAGCCTCGCAATGAACCAACGTGTCGAAGACGAACAAGAGCAAGGCCACTCTTTATGGTTTTTTCAATGAGAAACTTACATTGTCATTAATGCAGGCAGCTTTCAAAAGCAAGTGTCAAAAAAAGAAGACACTAATCTAGAATGCAACTGCTTACGGAAGAAACTGAAATAAACCAAATGATGATGAACCCAACCTCTTCGTTATACGAAAGTCAGTGGTAACGACGAGATTAGTGGGCAGTAGTAGTTTGTTGTTCGTTACCATTCTTGTTCATCAGAATAGATGACCCTACGTACTTCAAAATCCTAAAGCACTTCTTCTGTTAGAATGAAGCATCCCTATCATGTGTAACGTTCACGAACTTCAGAGACATCGCTCGGGGATCGTTGACCTCGACAGCATCCTCTTGCTGCGGTCATTGTTCACCTGTAGGTTACAAGCAGAACGATCATCTTCACATCTCTACTAGTAACTCCGCGAAACATCTTCGCCCAGTACGTCAATCAATAGAACCCTCTTCATAAACATACGTGCTTGACCTACCGACACATGCTTGTGATGAACATTCGAGGTTGTATGTCCTCGTGCGTGCTGTCCCAGTCCCTGTCCCAGTGGCAAACTCATGGCTATAGTTGTAGAAAAACTACAAAAATACGACCGCTGTCTCCTGATACAGAGAAGTTCTGCTTTACAGTTTACATTTGCGAATAGTAATAGAATACTCTTACAACAATTGAAGCTCTGTTTGATCACTGGTTGCTTTGTTTGATCACTGCTTAGCTCTGTTTGCTCACTGCTTGCTTTGTTTGATCAAAAAGATGCTCCACACGATGCTGGCCAAGCGAGAGCTGAATAACCTCCAGTCATGCTTCACCAGCGACAAGCATGAAAAGGGAGCGGAGGCATCTATTATTGAGAGAAAAAGATGCTCAATCTGAAATACATGAATATGAAACTGCTAACAAAACCGCCATATATATAATTCTTGATGCAAGTGCTGAAAAAGGAAATACTTGCTCTTGCACTTTGTTTTACTCATCAAGACTTTCATATATGTACACCGTCCACGCCACCTACTCATCTAAAAAACTGAAAATCATCATTTTACTTACAACGTGCGTTTGCAACTACTTAGGCAGTGGCGCTTCTGAAAAGAGAATCAGTCTGCGCAAATGCGTCACGAGGACGAGGCGCATGTTTATTTCATAAAAAGTTGATGAGCGAGACCGGACCCCAAAAGCAGACGTTGGATCGCCAAATGTCTAGGAATTCACTGGACAGAATCTTCTCGTTCAATATCCGTTGCCAACTCCGTGACCCGTCTGGCGAGTGCAGAGTTTAGAACAGAATGAAATCCTCGAGGGATCGACTAACATCGATGCATCAATCTGCTACCAATGCAGCAATCTGCTAGTACATCAACTACTACCCCGCCCTCTGCAACGACGTCAACAGCAACAACAGTACCAGTGCCACATGTCATGTCATGGCGCCTCTTATCTTCCTTATGTAGCTATGAAGTTCTCAGGCCCGGCCCTCAGTTGCCGTGATGGGCGCATACCTCGCTGGCCACGACGCGAGGAAGCGGTGCAACGAGACCAGGGCAAAGGGCGGGCGGGTAATCAATGCGAGAGAGATCACCAAAGCAAACACGAGGAAGCAAGATATCGCAAGGATAAAACCGACACCGCGGACCTGCCTGTAGAAGAATCTGTGAGCCGCAATGTCTTCGGCTTCATGCCTTCATCTACGAACTTCATCACTTTAACGCTGCCGTATGATCATGCTATTGCTGCGGGCACTCGCTGCTACCAAGATCCTGCACATCCTTAAAGATCACTAATGTCTACTTGTAGTGAGGCCATCGTCCACTTCCACAAAGACGAAAATTAATATCTACATATTACATGGCATAAAATACTCCCGCAGCTAGCAAATAAGCGGCGTTTACCAAGGGCGCAAAGACCAGCTGCTCCGCCAAAACAGACCGCGCGATTCGTGTGATCTTTAGCCACATTGAGAAGAGAGCAGCGAAGACCCTTTTCGGAATGCTCAGAGACTTTTTCTCTACCTCAGTCGACCCAGCCTCATCCTGAGATGAACCCGGACTGCCATTCCCGCACAGCCAATCTACGTTCGAGAAGAACGTGAAAGCTAAGGGATGCAAAACGGCGAAACCCAAACAGTACTCCTTAAAAAGCGAAGGCACATCAAGCGCATCGCCGTTTTCAAGAGCGTCATGGGATAGTCGGGATTTTAGAAAAATAAGAAATCTTGTAAATATTTGCTTGAATGCTCAGAATAAAAAACAGAGCAATCTAGTCGACATGCGTAAGAAAATTCTCCTTCTCCGTTTCCTGACGACAGGATCGCCTCCTACCAGACATGATTAGTAATTTTTTTCATGTTGTCTGTATGCTTAGTAATCTCGTCTAGGTCTGGTGCTCATAATTGGCGTATCAGCTCTGATAAAGCGTGTAAGAGTCCTCCGATGTAGGCTTCACGCTCAAACGTCATCTTGTTGAGGCGCACGCGCAGCCTCTAGCAGCACGCACTAGGAGTGGCGGCGTATTGACGCAGTCAAGATCGAGAGCTGTCATGCGCACTGCCGCAGCAGCAAGACGACAGGAAACGCTCTAAGGCTGGCGCGGGAACAGAACGGTGCTCATTCATCTCTGACCAACATCAACGAAAAGGAATTATGGAGCAATTAGAACAAGCCGCAACAAGAACATTCTCTTCGTTTCTCCTGAGAACATGCAATTCTCGTGAACAATAAAAAAGAGTAGTTCGAGGAAGTCGACTCGTAGGAATGTAAAATACAGCTTCAACTCTTGTATGTAATAGACGCGTGAGGCAGTCCGACAGGGCTATCTTTAATCATGCGCTCCTGTCCTGGACACGGCTGAGTCACACCAGTTGTTTAGGCCTTCCAACATGGCGGATTTCTCAGGGAGAGGCTTGGCCTCATCCGTCGATCGACGAGCGATCATCACTTCCCTGCAGAGAATGTATTTCTGAGAAAATTCTAGCATGTTGAGATGACAAAGTCAAAGACAAAGTGCATATCTGTACATAAATGTTCGGAAACAACGACTTGATAACCTCAAAAAAATGCATCATCCTTTTGATGTTGAGTCCAGTTGTTATTCATCAGCATTTTATGATGCGGCAAATCCGAAACCGAAACAGCCACGAGAACTGTGCAACAACAACAAAGCCCATAGAGCCCCAAAGCAACTAAAACTCAAGTTTAAAGAGATCGAGATGATCATCATCGAAACTCAAAGTCAAACCGGTGCATTTAATACTGGCGATTGCTGAAAGGTGCAAATACGATTATACTTATGACCATTTCCTATACTACTTTTCTTGTTGAGAATAGCTGCTATTCGGGTCCCAATTCCACTAGTAAGCAGCACAGAACCTTTATGCTACTAGGAAGCTGTGTATCTACGTATAGAACTACTGATGCATTTCTTTGACAAAGCTCCCCGGCAATTGAAAAAAACTAAAGAAGCTCTCGACAAGAAAGCTCCACACGTAGTCGTGGTGCGTTAATATGTTCACTTCTAGCTGAGAGAGAAGTTTGATGCAAAGCACCTTAGGCTTCACATCAAGAACTAACACAATGCAATTATCTACGTAGACAAGATCCATCGATTTCTAAACGTATAGATGCATAATACAGCAATGCACAACCATGAAATCTATATAGAAAGTGTGGACCCCTAGGATGAACTGTCATAATCTTGATGTAGTCCTATTTACATCTATCGACCGCCCGTCTTGCGGACAACTACTGTAGTGACCCAGTTTACGTAGTAGAGCTCAAATTTGTTAACTTACTTCTTGTCCGCACTCATATTCATCGTTGCTAGAACGTGGGTCAGCATTTCTGCAGAGGTGAGCTGCCCGGGACGTTTTGGTTCTCTTTTTGATACTTTTCGCAGGGATGCTGATACATCACCGTTTCCTGGATCGCCTTTTCCTATACGAGGTTCCGTAGGTTGGCTCTCATTGTTTTTGGACCGCAACGCATAAGAATGCACGTGAAAATCAAGGTGGTCATTATTATGTTCGTGCTTCCCCGACTCACTAGCATCAGGCCTGGAGGGTCCGGTAGTATTATTACCGGTGCCTGATATTGATGGGCTGCAAGCATCGGCATCCTCCGGTTTTGATGCCTGCTCTTGAGATTTTGTGACTTCGCTGGGTAAAGAAAGGCGTGTCGCCTTTGCCGAAAGTAATTAGACCTCGATTTCAAAATCAATAATCTTCAGTCGATCAGTATGATCTCACGGACGAGGAACAAGCTCCTCCAATCTAGTATTGCATGTATTCTCATGGTCTGGTGATCATAGTAGTTCAAACAAGTGGTAGTGGTTCGTTGTACCACTACAACAAGCTACCAAACAAACTAGCTGCCGTAGCATGTGCAGCTCTTCTTGAAGTATGCATTGCGACGTCGAAAGCCTTGACACGCAAAAGGTTTGCTCCGATCGATGCGCAAGCGTAACTGATTCATCGCTACTCTAGCCGACTTCGATTCTTCTAGAATCCGACTTAGCACCACGCGAAGAATGTACTCCCGCTCCGACCAGGTCCACTTCCCATTAACTTCTTTGTTCAGCATATCGCTTCTTCTATTGTCCACGACCCTCGTTCGAGCAGGTAGGTCCGCGGGAGCCCTGTGGTCTCCGACTTGATCTGAGGTGACTCGTTGTTGCTCTTGCTCCGCACGGAAAGGATGCGTCGAGAGAGAAGAGTGAGCAGGCGATGCTAATGAAACTGTCCCACTCGTGATTATCTTTGGTTCTTGTGCTCTTTCATGCGCGACGAGTGCCGATTTTCCAAGAATAATGTCCTCGTCCGACACTTTCTGGTTATTACGCCCAACAGCGACAAACTCTCCACCGCCTTGCGCTTCTTCTTCTTCTACATCAGCGAGGTCAGTAACAAACGTAGAAGAACCCACACAAAATACTCCTGGCTGTCGCTTCTCCATCGCAACTTGTTCTACGCTTGCAGGGGTCGTTGTCTTCTCCTGAGGAGCTTGCTCTCGTCCGATTGAAGCGCTGACAGGAGGAGCGTCGCCATTCATTTCCTGCTCCTCATCTTCATCAGGCATTCCTTCTTGTTCATTCACAACGTCCTGCTTCTCCACATGATTACCGTGTTTCTCCACTTCATGGTGCCCGTCTACTTCCAAACCTGCTGCTAAGAGAGAGCTCATAGGCTGCTCCGCCGGACTGGACCTGCCCGGGTCTGTTGCTGCGACAAGGCCTCCCAGTTCGAATTTCGATGCGGGGTCGCGCCGCGCAGCATAGCTCCCCAACGCATTACGAAGTACCAATCGACGTCTCCCTATCAAGAGGCTTGATGTAGCTCCCGGTGCTGGATTAGAGACATTATGACTCCTGTTATATTTGTGGTGGAGCCGACCTAACTAGAAAAAAGACAGACCAGACAGAGGAAGATCTAAAAGAGAAAAGGGCGACTATCAACAAGTATCCTAAAGTATCCTGCTAACTGCTAAAACTAACTAAGCGCCGGCGCTATCGTCGTCCTGTCAGCCCCATAGGTCTCACCTTCAAAGGCAGGCCGGAGCCCTGTGCAACGCCTCCGGTGAGTGCTCAGCTCTCTGGTTGTGTGCACAGGTTTATTCGCTATGGGGTACCGGTTCACCAAATAAACCCACAACCAGAGAGAAGGACCCTCGCTACTTTATATCTACTGCTACTTTATATACTACTTTATATCTCCTGTTATATTTATTACGAGTGTTTCGTCCACCTCCTCATGATCCACGCACAGTGACAATACTATGTAACGACATAACATATGATCACGCCTTTCCAATTCTGTGGTCCTGTTCTAATCTCTCTCACTACACTAGTACTAGTTGTACATTTTCTTCGCCATACTATCTTTTGGTGATGGCGAATGCTTCGGTGCGGCGGGATGGGTCCTGGGTTCGATAGCTGCTGACGCCCCTCCAGCTAAGCAAGAAGTCGTGTTTGTATTGGCGCATTGCTCGAACGAAAAATTTGTCACGTTTTGAAGCCGTTTGTCATGTGCTGGTGCTGCGTTCGATTCATCGGAGGGTTTCTTGCAGCTCGGACCAGATCTATCGCCTTCAAGTTCATGCGGTTGTTCTTTCCTGTCAGTAGCAGCACCAGGCTCTTTCCTTCTGCCATCGTTCTTCAATGTCGTTGAAACTGCAGAGGGTGTCGCGTTCCGATTGCACGACTGGTCGTCTGGCGACGTTTGAGGTCGCCTTCGCATATTCAACCTCGACGTCCTGTCATTGCCGGTTGTGTCTCCAATATGTGCGGTTGCAGAGCGTTGTTCGGAACTCGGGCGTGGAAGCAAGCACAGTGCCGATCCGCTTAACGAAAATGGATACGATGATCTTTGTTCAGCACCTTCCCCGACCGATTTAGTTGTTGATGCTTGGTTGATGCTGCGTGTAAGAGCTGCTCTAGCATTTTCATCGTGGTCGTCAACAGATATCATTTTATGCTGTGTCTTCCTTGAAGCTGAACGCGGTGGTGCAGAGCCCGCAGTTGAACATCTGACAGAGAGTCCTCCTGCACCTGAAGAACCGTCGCTGTAGTCGTGCACACGCCCACCTTGGCAATCTTGGTGTTGTTGGTAAGTGTTCAAGTCGTGGTCGTCGTCCTGCTCCGTAATACGGAGATCATAGCTCATGTCCTCGTCGTTTTGGCAAGAGTAAACTGGGACGATCGAGTACGCAAACTGCTCGTCCATCCTTTGACCTCCTCGCTGCTGTCTACTCGCCATCAGCGCAGCACGATCACGAACTGCAGTCCATATGCGATCCAGCAAACCTCGGGAAAGACGCGCACCAGGTGCTGACGATCTGTTCTCGTCCTGCTTTTGCTGGTGGTCGTGCGCGCGTGTTGAAGATAACCCATTTTCAGCGTGAGGTACGTGTTCGCCAAGTAGAAGGTTGCGAAGATAGCTGTCTTGAACGCTCGCACCATGGGAATGATTATAATCTCCTTCCTTATTACTTGCGATCATCACTTGGCGTTGGCTTTCTTCTATCTTGTTCATCTCTTGGTTCAATATTATTTTGGATTTTCGAAGATTTTCTCGCATGTCGCCGACCAGTAACGGCTCCGCTGTTACGAGTTCACCCTGCATGGTCAACTGGAGCCGCTTTCGATATACTGTGCTGAAGGCCACTAATGGAGCTTTTTCATCACCATTTTTAATGACTCCTGTTGAATCTTTTGTGCTGTCGGCGCCCTGCCGTGGCGACACCGCCCCCGAAGGACCGACTTGACGAAGACTCAGATGCTCTTCTTCTTCCTCAGCATTTTTTCTGTGACCCCCGCTTGTGCTACTAGTCATGTGCTTGATTGCAAGTGCTCGGCCGCCTCGATCCGCGTCTTCGAGTTCCAGCAAGGTTGATGCTGGTCCTGGAGGTGATGGCTCACCACTTGCTCGTGGTGTTATTATCGCAGAGGCAGATGCTTTGACGGGAAATCGCATTTCTTCCGTTGATATCATCTTTCGATTCATATTCTTGTTCAGCGTTGTGTTCACTGAACGATGTGCTTCTGCTATGGAAGTCGCCTCAGGAGAAGTAGGAGTCCGGTGGGGTGGATTGATTTCCTCTAGTTCGGTGCTGAGGTGTAGTTGCACTGGTATTGGTTCCTCTTTCGTCATCTCAGCATCCATCAAAGCTTCGACCAGGAAGCGCTCCACCATGCTTCGCTGTCGCAGAATCTTCTCTCCCCACTGCCGGAGGGTTTCTTAGAAAAAGAAATTAAGATGGTTTCAACTGCTCAAGGAGCAACAAGTAATCACCATCAATATTAATTTCAATCTCGTCGTATCTACTAAGAGTACAACACGAGCTTCAGGCTCAGCAGGTTCAGCTTGAGGGAGAAATTGAACATAGTGAAAATAACGAGCTCACACAGAGAAAATCATCAAGAACATTTTAGATGCATGACAATCAAGATCAACTACCTCGTCCAACTGCTCTCTCCAACTCCAATTAAGAAGTTTGACGCATAGTGTTCTGTTTCTTTTGCTGCGCGCGATGCATACGCCTCGGCACGCCGTGTCCGTTGTTCTTGGTTCTCTTCCCTTTTTTTGCGTTCTTCTGACGCCACCGCAAGCTGCTGACTCCGCTCTTCCGCAGCATTTTTGAGCTTCTCGATTTCACCTTGTAGTTCTTCGCAACGACCACGAGCCCGATGCGTTGCCTTTTTAGAGGCTGCGAGTAGCTTCGTAGTCTCGAACCCCTGCGCCCGAAACATTAGGGCTATTGTTTTCTTCTACAGACATAGCTGCTGTAGTCTTCCATGCCGCCCATCTTCATGCATGTAGTTGGCAGCAAGTAGTTCTATCCTGTAAGGTCGTGTGAACTGTACCTACTTAGTTCATATGGAAGAGGGAAAGGTGGGATGGCCCTGCCTTAAAAGAAGCGACACGTCTCTTCGACTGTCAGCGAGCTGTTCTTGCAACGTTGACAAAAAGGCAGAATCCTGAGCCGCAGTGCTCGTTTCGTCATGATAGGAGGTACTAGCAGCACTAGATTCCGCCAGGAAAACGTCGCGCTTACTTTTCGATTTAAATCTAGCGGTTTGTCTCGAGGTCGAAGAAGCTGTTACTGCTGCCATCGCACCGCTTGGAACAACTCCAATGTGACCCGCATGAGACGAAACGTGTTTGCGAGAAGACTTTTTCTTTACCCCGACTACCTCGTCCTCCGTAGCTTCCCCGTCTTGTTCTTCATCTACTGCTTTCATCTTCAACACTATTTGCTGTTTATTTTTGATCTTGTCTTCTAGATCCTGTTTTCCACCAAGTGCCAGCAGTCCCCCGCTTTTCATTTGTTTTTCATTTTCATCATCGGCATCAAACAAACCTGACGTGCCATCATTGACGTTTAAGAAAACATCACCGGCGCCGCTCTGAGAGAGTTGGCCACCTCCTCCTGGTATTGAAGTGGGGCTAGTGGCTGATATTGCCTCATCATCGCGATCGCGCCAAGATTTGAGCCTCGCCAACCCCGCTGATGGACCAGACGCCGAGACCCTCCGCGTCATCTTTCTTGGCGGCAGCGGTTGATGGATTGGTATGAATGAGGACTTCCGATCTTCTTGATCTTGACGATATTTTTGATTCTAATAGTACAACTACCGCCAAGAAGCGTGGCTGGAGATGAGACGTATATATATTGGCGTTAAGTCAGCTAAGAACTGCACAAAAACGGTCTTTATTGCCGCCTCCTCGTCCTGGAAGTGCTCCGCTTAGCGGCTTTTGCCACTTGCTTCCTCTTGGTTTTTCTGTCTTTTT